ACACACAACACAACACACAACACAACACACAATCCAACGCGGCAACAAACCTTTTGCGCAGCTGGCTTCATGGGGTATGGAGCGTTGCGGCGTGGCGGGTGCGGCGGTGCAGCCGAGGTCACGTGATGTGGCGACCCCGCTGATGTGAACGATGAGGAGGGCGACGAAAGCGTTGCAGACACCGTCCTGTGCTCCAGCTGCTGCTGCTGTTGATGCTGCTGGTGTTTGCTGCTCCTGCTTCCACTCTTTCTTCGGGATGCTGCAACAGCAGTGGCAGCAGCAGCTTGTGCCTTCTTTCCTTTTGCCCCCTTTCCCTTTCCTCTGCCTTTCGCCTTGCTGCTGCGCCGCGAGTGCGAGGGCGTGCTCTTCTCCCTCGCATATGGGCTGTTGCTGCTGGCGGTGCTGTGCCCGCCATCGCTGTCGCTCGCATGTGCTGCAGACTCTGCGTCTGTCGTCGGCTCCGGCACCGACCGCCGCCGCTTGAACTTACGGCGGCGCCGCGTCTTCATCTGCTCAAAGTCAACAAAGTCTGGGCGCAGCATCCAGTATCCGCCCTTGCCGCGCTCCGTGCCATCGCGGTCAACCTTGAGGAAGCACTTCTCCTGGCTCAGGTTGTGGCGGATGGAGTTCTGGTGTGCAAACAGCGATAGTGTGTGAGGTTGTGTGTGGTAGGGCGGAGGCGAGCAAGCAAAGGGTGGCTTGACACATGACATCATGGGAGTGCTCACAGTGCGTGTGCGTGTGTGTGTGTGTGTGTGTCTGTGTGTGTGTCTGTGTGTGTGTGCAATACACAAGAAGCAACACACACGGAGAAATCACACACAACAACAACAACAACAACAACAACAACAACAACAACAACAACAACAACAACAACAACAACAACAACAACGCACGCATATCACATACACACACCTTCCAGCCGCAACGAGCGTGGCGGTAGTAGGCAAAGTTGTCGAGGATGTAGTCGTAAATCTCGGCTAGCGAGAGCTTGTCCTTGTCGCTCTCACGCAGTGCCATGAAGATGAGCGTGGCATAGGCGAATGGCGGCTTCTTGTGTGGGTTGCTGGCCCAGTCAAAGGAAAGAATGTCCTCTGGTGTGCCAGAGCGCGAGTTTTCCTTCTCCTGCTTGAACTCTGGGCCAAACACGTCGTCATAGTCATCGTCATCGTCGTCGTCTTCGTCGTCACGACCATGGCCATGACCGCCACGGGCACTCGTCGCCTTTGTTTTGGCGCATCCGGTGCGCTGCTTTCGGCTGCTCCTGCAATAGTAGTCGCTGCTGTTGTAGTAGTTTGCTTGGGCGTCGTGTGAGGCATAGGTGATCTGGGGTGCCTGGTATTTCGTGCCGGATGGGCTCTGGCGACAGGTGAGCGGGTTGGTGAGCCAGGTCAGGCTGGCCAAACTGCTGGACAGGCTGCTGGACAAGCTGTTGGACAGACTGTTGCAACGCGAGGACGTGCGCAGTGCATTGCATCGCACATTGGAGGCGCTGGTGCTCCCGTTGCGTTGGCGATGCTGCTGCGCTTGCTGTGACGCTGACACGCGTGGGCCAGGGATCGGAGAAGGAGACATGGCGAGCTGTGGAGATGCGCTTTGTGAAGGCTAGCTTTGCTTTGCGTTGTTGTTGTTGTTGTTAGTGGTGGTGGTGGTGGTGCGGATTTGGCTTACACGTCGCAAGGCCTCTGAGTGTCCAATGAAAATGAAAATGTCGCATGGGGGCGAGCGAGCATTGTCTCATCTCATCTCTCACTCATCGTGGCTGTGTTTGTGTTTGTTTGTGTTGTTGCTGTGGCTGGTGCTGTTTGCCTTTGTTTGTGTGGGAATTTCTGCTGACTCAGCACATTTCAGGTGGATAACGGCAAGCAGGGAAGACGAAGGACGGCGATGAACAGCAGCAGTGGCGATGATGGGTGGCGGTGGGCACACGGCGGGGAGGGCGAACGCTATTGTGGTGATGAGGGTGGGGGCGAAGGAGGAGACGGAGGAGACGGGGGTGGAAGCGATGAGCGTGGGCAGCACGGGAAGCACCACCATCTACAGCCACACGAGGATGAAGAAGAGGTGTTGGACTACCTGCGACCGGAGGACATCCTGCGGACCATGATGGCGGCAGCATCGCGTACAACTGCCAGGACACCAATGAGCCCTGTCCAGGAGCACGAACAACAACAACAAGAAACACAAGAAGACAGTGATGGTGGGGGGCCTCGTCGTGGTGATGATGGTAGTGGTGGAACTGGAAGAGCGAGTGGACGAGGACTGCTGCTCGCAACAGCAGGAGAAAGGGGGATACGTGCACAAGGCACAACGGGAAATGAGCCAGACAAATGGGATACCAGCCCGCTCGACACAGCCAACACCCACCGTCACTCTTACCCACAACAACAACAACAACAACTGAGACAACAACAACAACTGAGACAACAACAACAACTGAGACAACAACAACAACAACAACAACAACAACAACAACAACAACTGAGACAACAACAACAACAACAACAACAACAACAACGCGGAGAAGATGCTGAAGCAATGGCTATGCTGCAGTTGCGCCTTGTAGAGACCCAGCGGCAGTTGCGAGAGCTCCAAATGTACTATCGTGGGTTCCACCCATACGGGCCTCCTTGCAGCACTCCCAACACGTCCGCCAAGACCACAGCCACCACAGAGGTCAGCCGTGTTTGCAGTGTGCACTTTCGCTTGACACGTCGCTTCACTTTCACTGTTCAGCGTCACCTTCACGTGTGTGTGTGAGTTGCTCTGACTGAGCAAGGCATGTTTCTCATCTGCTTTTCGCATCGCAAACACCCTTGACACAGCGGGAACTGGCGCACACACAGCAGGAGAACGTGCAGCTCAAGCGCAAGCTCGGCGCCCTGGAGGCCATCCTGCAGCTGCAAGTGCGTGCCCCTAGACTAATGCGCTTGTGCTTGGTGTTAATGTGTTGGTGGTATCAACCGCCTGATCCTTGCCCGCCTGCTTTTTTGCTGAGCGGGCAAGCAGCCTCTCGAGATGTAATTCATACGTGACTGCTGTCATAACGCAGGCGAATCACGCCTCGCTAACAGTATCCGTGTTTGGTTGCACTCGCTTGCTATCGCCGACAACAGGAAGCTGAGCTGGCCAGAGGCGTGGATGCAAGCAGCCAGGACCGCGACGACAATGACGATGACGATGGAGATGGTGACAACGAAACGCATCCAGGCAGCGCTGCCCAGCGGGTCCTGCAGAGGTGCGTCAACGCTACAACAGAAGAACTGCATGTGCAGGTGACGTGTCATCGCTTTATCAGCACATGCTCACACATGATACCCGTCTATGATTTTGGGGTATTGTGTGTGTGTGTGTGTCTGTGTCTGTGTCTGTGTGTGTCTGTGTCTGTGTCTGTGTGTCTGTGTGTGTGTGTCGTGTTTGGTGACAGATGGCGGGATGAGGTACTGCGGCACATGCTGCATGCAAACTCAATGACCCTCCGGCTTGAAGACCAGCGACGTGAGCGCCACGCAGAGGTGTGTGTATGCATGTGTGGGTGTCTGTCTGTATCTGTATCTGTGATTCCGTGTGCGCACATGTCTGTGCAATCTCCCATTTCTCACTGCTTGATTGGTCGCACCAGATCTGCTCGATCAAGAAACTCTTGGATCAGGAACAGCACAAGGTGGAGTGATTGCTGGTGCCTTCATTCGCAATCTTGCTCCTCGTTATCGTGCACGCACATGCACATTCGTAGATGCCCCTCCGCAACACACACGCACACACACACACATCTGCTCACGGCCAAACATATACCTCTACATGCCTCCCACTGCAACTGCTGCTGCTGTTCATCCACAGCGCAAGTTGGCGGAGTTACAGCTGGAAGCAAAGGACGCGGATGTGGTGCGGTTGCAGCAGCAGCTACAGGTGTGTTTCTCGCGCACGCGCAGCCCTCTCTCTCGCTGTATGCCCGCCTGACAATCATTGAGCGCATGTGTAAATGCAAGTGCCGTCCATGTCTGCCACGGCACCGCTGCACGCACACATTGATCACCGCTCAGCACCATCACCACTCATCACCACCACTATCATCGTTGCATGTGCAATGCCAGGACCTGCAACACGACACCGACGCAGCGACGGCGAAAGCGGCAGCAGCGGAGGAGAACATGCACGAGTGTAAGGAACGGGCGAACACAATCGCACGCGCAGCAAAACGTGTCACCAAAGACATGATGGCAAAACTTGAGCAGACACACAAGGCCCTTGACAAGGTATGCGGGCGCACACACGTATGATCACTTGCTCTTGATCACTCTAGAGTCGCCCACCTTCGCTTCCGCCAAGCGCTCGTATGTGAATTGATGTAAACATGTGTTTGTGTGCTTGTAGCTTGGATTGCTCTCCTATCGCCTCAAGTTTGCGGAAGGCCGCGTCGCCACAGTACGCTTGTGCATCACTTGTGTGTGTCTCTGTGTCTGTGTCTGTGTGCGTGTGTCTCTGTGTCTCTGTGTGTGTCTGTGTGTGTGTGTCTGTGTTTGCGAGGGTGAACACCACGACAACCGTGTCGCTCACCGCAATGCAAATGATGTTCACAGATTTCGCACTTTCTCAAGTCCAAACGCGGCCACCCGTACGTGTCATAGAACATCCACCACATCACCGGCACAAAACATCGCTTGCCTGTCAATCTGTGGAAGCGTATGTGTTCTTCCACCACAATCATTCAACGCTCTTCTCATCTCACATCACAACAACAACAACAACAACAACAACAACACCACCACCACCACCACCACCACCACCACCAACGCCCGTGTGGACACAGGGGTGCCAAGACGCATGAGCGCTGTGACGAAGCGGCGGCTGAATGCGCGCAGACGGAATCCGTCGATGAGGAGCCGAACGCATCGCTTCCACATCGCGCACCGGCAGATATGGACTGGGTATGGCTTGGTTTCTGAGTGCTCGCGTGTTTCTGACGACGTAACGCACTGTTGTTGATTGTTCTGGCTCTCGCTTGAAAGCAAGCACTCTCAACAACAACAACAACAACAACAACAACAACAACAACAACAACAACAACAACAACAACATCATCATCATCATCATCATCATCATCATCATCATCATCATCATCATCATCATCATCAGGTTGGGCGATTGGAGGCGGAGGTTGAGCGGGTGACGGCCGAGCGTGATGCCCTCAGGCGCGAAAACGAATCTCTCGCACACTCCTTTGACCAACGCGTGATGCAGTTCAAGCAAGCGTGTACGTACGCTCGCATGTGTTTGTGCGTGTGAGGGCTGTTGCAACGTGTGGTTCGTTCTCTCTGCCACCCGCTACCATGTACCTCACCTGCTTCCGTGTGCGCATGTGTTTGTGCAGGCGACGAGCGGACGACAGCGCTGGAGCAACAGCTGGCCGAAGCAAACGCGTCCGCGCAGTCCATGCAAACGCAGATACAGCGCCTCGCCGCGGTGCGTCGTCAGTACATGGCTGTCAGTGTACCTGAGCGAATGTTGGAATGCGTGGGAATGCGTGAATGTGCACCAGGAATCTCCCGTTTTTTGTTTTGCTGGCTCACATGTGTGTGCGCGTGTGTTCACAGGAAATCAAAGATGCTCGACTTCAGTGCGAACAGAAACAACGCGAGGTAAAACAGCATCGCATCTCTTGTGCTGTCCTCTTCTCTTTCCCGGCCCTTTCACTTTCTCTGCATATCTCTCCATGTGTGTGCTGATGATGATGGTGCTGATGATGACGATGATGGTGGTGGTGGTGGTGGTGGTGGTGGTGGTGGTGGTGGTGCTTCTCACGTCACATCATGGATGGACACTCGCCCACATGGCAGGTGGAAGCGAGCCAGCGCGAGTCAAGGCGCAGCGTTGAGGAGAAGCAGCACGAGCACGAAATGGCCATGCAACAGATGTCAGGTGGGCAGTCCACACTGCACCCCGCTGCTGACATGTACACGCCGATTGTATGACCCACACACCAACTTCTCGACACACAGCTAACCCTCTGTGTGTTTGTGTGTGTGTGTGTGTGTGTGTGTGTGTGTGTGTGTGTGTGTGTGTGTGTGTGTGTGCTTGTGTTCATGTCTGTGTCTGTGTCTGTGTCTGTCTATATCTGTTTGCAGGGGCCCACAAGCGGCGAGAAGAGGAACTCATGTCCACGATTGCGGCACTTGAGCAAGACGCAGCAGCAACGGCGGTGCGCACTCGAGCAGATCATGATGTCATGCCCGTGCTGTGCCAATGCTGTCGTCCATGTGTTCACGTGTCCCTGTTTTGACACGCCCCCTTTTTGGTCTCCGTCGCTTTTCTTGCTCCGGGCTGCATGCGCAGGTCACGATCAAGCAGCTTGAGCGGAGGCTAGCGCACGACAAGGCGCAGCGGCACGAGCAGCACGAGCAGCAGATGGCGTCGCTTGAGGGCCGCATTGCGCAGCTGACAGATGCACTGCAGCAGGTCACGCAGGAGAGGAACATGCTCAGCGCACGTGTGCGCGGACGCGCAACAGCAGTAGCTCACGACCCGTGGCAGCAGCAGCAGCAGCAGCAGCAGGAGGAGAGCCAGCAATGGAGTCAACGAGAATGCCGCGGTCCTGATGACGTGCAGCGACCAAAGATGCAGCAGCGGACAGCTTGTGTGGGCGACGACGAAGACACCGGTGGTGGTGGTGGTGATGATGTTCGTGAAGGTGGCCATTCGTGTGCGCAGCAGTCAACGCTGAACAGCGATTTGGAGGCGGAAATCGATGCTCTCATGCACGAGCTGCTATCATGACGGCGACGGCGGTGGTGGTGGTAGTGGTGGTCGTGGTGGTCGTGGTGGTGGTGGATCCCACGTGGCTTGTTGGTTCTGCTGAGTCTGTTTGAATGCGTGTACATGAGCAGGAGCTTTGACTTAGACTTTTGTTGCTGTTGTACCAGATATTCATTTCACTGCACCCACACTACAACACCTCCCTCCATACACAGTCGAGACAGCGAGAAAGCACAAAGAAGAAAAAGAAGAAAGAAAAAAAAGAGAGAGAGCAAGAACAAGCAAGCCATTGGTTACGCACAATCCCTCACACAACCCAAGCAAACAGAGAGCAGGTCAACAGCAAGCAACAACAACGGCATGAACAGCAACACTACGTCTGAGGCAGAAGACAAGACAAGGCCACATTGTCGTGGCATCAGAGATGAGCACGTTGCTTGCGGTACGAAGGCGCCACGTGATGACAGCCAATGGAACTGCCGTCTCAGAAACCAAACCAGGACTTGATTGTCGTCCACACAGATGGGCCCTCATCGTCCCCAGCGCGTGCGCGCTTGCGGGGTTGCTCCTCGCCGTCGTCACCCCCCGTCTCCTGCTGCTGCTGCTCTGGCTCTGCGGCGCGCTTTGCACTGCTGCTGCTGCTGCTGCTGCTGCTGCTGCCCTTGTTGTCGTAGCGCTTCTTGCCGTCGGCCTCAGCGAGGACGGGCGGGGCGCCGACAAGCAGTTTGTAGTGCAGGCGCTCGTGCTTTCCAACGAGACAGCGGATTGTCTTGCGCCCACGCCAGCCAACCATCTGCATAGGGAAGAGAGGACGAGTGTGTGTGTGTGTGTGTGTGCGTGTGTGTGTGTGTGTGTGTGTGTGTGTGTGTGTGTGTGTGCGTGTGTGTGTGTGTGCGTGTGTGCGTGAGAGTTGAGAGAGAAAGAGAAAACTGAGGTCAGACATGAGAGGTGGTGACATGGACAACATAGGCGCCACGCGAAACTTGTTGCTGAAGTGCGATCGTGATCACGTGCAACAGTTTCGCTCAATACAATACGCAACAAGCAGACAACGCAACAAGCAGAGTGAGTGCAGACGTACGCGGACGGTGCATGGAAGGGGGCGGAATCCGCGGCCGTCCTCAGTCTTCTCAACGGAGGGCGAGCCCTTCTCCACCACAATCGCACACGCACCCTCGCCTAATCACACAGAACAGCACAGTACAAGCAGTGAGAACATGGGAGAGCAGCAGCGCGCGTGTGCGCGTACGTGTCTGTGTCCGTCTGTCTGTGTGTCTGTCTGTGTGTCAGCCTCTGTGTGTGTGTGTGTGTGTGTGTATGTGTGTGTACCCTCGGTTCCTTGCTCTGTGTCATTGCTGCAACCCTCCGTACTGTGCTGGTCATCACGCAGCGCAGGAGACGTACTGAGTTCGTTGAAAGCCTTCTCTGTAGCGGAAGAGAGCGTGTCGATGAATGGCGTGTCCTCGTGCAAGATGGCAAGCACATCCTCCGCCGTGGCGTGCACAACACGCTTCTGCATAAACGGCATGGTCACGTCGATGCCTTCTTGGCACATGCGGAACACCAAGCCCTCTTGCTTCGAGTCCGAACGCGTGAACACGCGCACACCCGTGTTGGTGACCTGAATTGGACAACGTGAAGCAAAGCAGCGCAGGCAATGTGTGTGTGTGTGTGTGTGTGTGTGTGTGTGTGTGTGTGGATGTGGATGTGTGTCCTCTCGCATTACGGTTCAAACAGCAGCACAAACACACGCACATACACATACACATGCAGACCATACAGCACAGAAACACTCTCTCACACATGTCTACAAGCACAAACCATGCGCAACGTGTTATTGCAGCATGAAGACAAGACAACGCACGCGCAGGCCGTCGTCGATGTTGTTTGCGACGATGCTCTTGATGAGCGGAGAGACAATGTACACGTTGCGTTTCTTCCCGCCATGACTGCGCGTCAGCATCAGCTCTTTTGGGAAATTTGGGCCAAAGCCGTAGAAGTCGCTGGTGTTTGTGCAAAGACATCAGGGGGGGGGGTGTTGGGTTGTTGGTGAGCAGAAAAATGAAAACGACACTTTGTTTCAAGGGCGGCTGGCTGACCGGCACCCGTTCGCACGCCCACGTACGCGATCACACACATGACAGCACAGAAACTGCAGTGATGAAATCACGCACAGGATTCCGTCGAGAATGTTCTTCTTCTCCGGCTCGTCCACGAGAAACACATACGGGTCCTCGTTGAACAGCCGCTGGCCAGACCCTGCACACATGTTGCATTGTGGTGTTGCGTGTGTGTGTGTGTGTGTGTGTATGAGTGTGAGTGTGTGTATGTGCGTGGTGGTGGTGGTGGTGGTGGTTTGTATGAGTGTGGGCTTGTATGAGTGTGGGTGTGTATGTGCGTGGTAGGGGAGAAATAGAGAGGAAGGCACATTTAAGGACCCAAACAAACACAACGCGAGAGTGATGTGACAACAGCGCAAGCAGCCGACTCATCCTCTCCCAAAATACGTACTCTGCACGGGATCCGATGGGCGAATAACGGTCTCGTCGCCATCAGCGTCGCCGGCGTCAGCAGCGCTTGCGTTGGCAGTGGTAGTGGTCGTACTGGCTGCTTCTGCAGACTGCGCAATGTCCTTCGATTCGCGCTGAGACAGTGGCGCTGTCTTGCGGAGCACAGCAACGAAGAACCCACCTGCAAGACATGTACGTGCGTGTGTGTGTGTGTGTGTGTGTGTGTGTGTGTGTGTGTGTGTGTGTGTGTGTGTGTGTGTGTGTGTGTGTGTGTGTGTGTGTGTGTGTGTGTGTGTGTGTTTGTGTTTATGACTGAGTGTGGGAGGCTGAAAAGCACTGCAGAAGCAAGCCGAGAACATGAAGCATGCAGCAGACAGCCATCACTGCGACAAGCACCACCGCCAGCGCCACCATGCCTTCGCTGTGGTCACCTGACCTGTGTCCTGGTGGTGGGGGAGAAGACGGCAGCAGCGCTCAAGCCGCATCCACTCCAGCTCGTCCTTGCTTGGCGGGAACATGGTCGTGTGGATCTGAGACGCAACACAGACAGGAAACGGCGGTAATTGGTGCAGGTGATCGCATGGGATGTGCGCAGTCAAAGAGAGTGTGAGTGAGAGCGAGAAGGGGGAGCATCATATCACAGGGAATGAGGAGAGGATTGGACGTTCAAGAGCATGCACAGATTCTCGCGCATGCTTGGCTGGTTGGACAATTGGTTGCATCGTGTCCCTGTGTCACCTTGGAGTTGTCCTTGCAGTCCTCTGGCGACGCGTACACGTTCTGGCTGCGGTCCTGTGGCATTGACATATGTGGTGGTGGTAAAGCAATGTGTTTGGGGTGGGTGGGAGGTTATTGCACAACATGTCATCGAGTACGATGCGCAAAGCCATATCAAAGGATTGCACGTGTCGATGTGTCGTGAGAGCAGACGGTGGTGGTGATCGTCATCATGTGCGCAGGCAGGTCATATGTGAAGGAAAAGGCGGCGCACCATGATGGTCCAGGTCTTGAGGCCGGGGCTGCGTCGGAGGCGCGGCAGCTGCGAGCTCACGTCCACAAGTTCAACCGACCCTGATGGTGGTGGGCATGGTGGTCATAGCAATGAATGTGATGTTGACGGCGGTGCGTCAGTATCCCTGGTTTCGCGAATACATGTGGGTGCAGGGCGAATGTGCGCCGGACGCACAAGCTTCATACATGGACTACCGGTACACCTCTGTGTTAATTGGCACATGTGTATATATGTGTGTGTGTGTGTGCGTAGTGTCTGCTCACCCTTGTGCTTGCGCAGCATGTGTGCGACGACGGCTTCATTCTCGATCGGGTTGAGGGAGCACGTGCTGTACACAATGAGCCCGTCGACAGCAAGCAGCTGCAGGCCGCGCTCGAGGATACGCGACTGCAGCGGGTGCAGCCTGCCGCGAGGATGGCGTAGTGGTGGTGGTGGTGGTGTGGCTCGGTGAGTTGAGGCTGGTGGTCAAGTTGACAGAACCAACACCCGCGTATGCACACTAATTCGCGTGCGCGCATGCACAAGAGGCACACACACACACACAAAGAAACAAACAAACAAACACACATACACACATACACACAAACACAAACAAACACAAACAAACAAACAAACACAAACAAACAAACAAACACACACAAACAAACAAACAAACACACACACACAAACAACAACAACAACAACAACAACAACAACAACAACAACAACAACAACTTAAACAACAACAACTTAAACAACAACAACTTAAACAACAACAACTTAAACAACAACAACTTAAACAACAACAACAACAACACATTACAATGCAAGCATACACGCACACCGGCACGTGTGCAGCAGAGTACGGGAGCAAGGCTGCGCACCCGATTGCGTTCATGGGGTTCCATGAGCGCCAGATGGTGACGTTCTTCCTCAGGGTGCCGTCGCCAGAGCAGGGCACATCCGCCAGCACCCGATCAAAGTACAGCCGCTGCTTCGTCCCGTCCGCAGCCTACAGTCGAGGTGGTGGCATGCGCGATGGCGTTGGGGATGGCGATGAGTGGGCACAGCGAGCACCGTCACGATACAACGCGCGTGGTATTGGTTTCACATCGAAATGCAAACCAAACACACGTCCACATTCACAACATACACACACATATAAAGTAACACACACGCACGCACACACGCACGCACGCACGCACGCACACACACGCACACACAAACAGACAAACAGACACACGCATACACGCGTGTCGGCACTGCATCGGCAACATACTGTGGTGTAGAGAGACGGGAAGATGCTGGCGTCGTGGTTGGTGATCATGAAGCAGGGGCTCTGTCGTTTGAGCCGCAAACAAGCAGGGCCGGCACGTTGAGTCGTTTGCGAAAGCTGTGCCACACCAAAGGAATGTCACCGCAACGCACACACACACGCACACACACACACACACACACACACACACACACACACACACACACACACACACACACGCACACGCACACGCACACGCACACGCACACACTTGCAAACACACTTGCACACGCACACGCACGCACTTGCAAACACACTTGCACACGCACACGCACGCACGCACACATACACACACAGACGGGCGGACCTGAAGGCGCTTGGTCTGGTGGACGAGCATGTAGCAGCGCTTGTTGTCGGCGTCGTTGGCAACGACGAGGCCCTCTGGTGTCACGGTGGCGGATGGGTATGGAGATACAGATGAAAATAACATAGGATGCAGTGAGTGAATTGATTGATTACACGTTATCAAGACAAGGCATATGCACAGTTAGGAGAGAGAGAGAGAATGGGGTGTGCTGTGTGAACAACGCGACATCAGGGCATATGCAAACACAATAGAATATGCAAAGCAACACGGAAGCATGTGCATGGGTGTGTGTACCTGGCATGCTGTTCCCCTCTGCGTGGATCATCTCGATGAGCTGCGCAGTCTTTGATCCTGGCGCCGCACACATGTCCAGCACCTTATGGTGCGGCTTGACGTCCAGCAGAAACGGCGGGATCATGCTCACGGCCTCTTGCCGGCTGATGTTGCCTTGCTCGTTCTGCTGCACAAGAAACGTGTGGAACTTCTTCAGCTCTTTGCTCTTGCGGATAAACTGGCGCGGCGCCTGTGCGGTGGTGACAGCGCGGGGCAGGGTGGATATGAGACAGGGGGGATCGTGATGGTGAAATGCACAGCACAGCACAGATTGCAAGAACTGCTCACGCGTCTCAACCCCAAACACAATGCACCAAACACAACGCGCAACGTGGAAACAAGAGCAGCAGCGCAATAGTATATGCAACATCACATCACAGCACACAACGCGAAGAAACACTTGCCCGCGCCGCCCAGCACATGCCATGCGCAAGTCTGTACCTGCAGGTGCCATGCGAGGCGCTCCGGGTACCAGCGGATGGGCTTTGGCGGCTCCACGCTCTCGCCATTGCTGAAGGTGACGGTGTTGAGGTGGCTGAAGTAGTGGTCCTCAAACTGGCGGCGCACCTCCACCGCAGACCTGGTGCCCACGGTGTGACGCGGGTGGTGTGACGCGGGGGAGAGGGGAGGATAGGGGGGGGCAAGGGTGGGTGTGAATAGATAGTGTGCGCAGACTTGGACGATGTAGATATGGCGATATGAGAGACGAACGGAGGCAGCAGCGTGAGGAGGGAGTTGCGCGGACGCAGGTGTACGCGACATGCCACGTACTCTCGTGTGCCTGTGATGCGGAAGGTGGTGGGCAGCGGCGATCGCAGTGCCGTCATAAAGTCTGACCACTCCTCATCTGGGACAATCTTCTGCACCTAAGTCCATCACAAGAATGAAGGCGCGAGTTGGGTTTAGAGGGCGGAGAAGAGGCGCGTGCGTGGGTCGTGCCATGTGAGGACAAAGTGGAGAGGGAGGAAGGGGAGAACGCAGCCGACATACACGAGGAAGAACAAGCGCAAACACCAGTGCACGGGCACAAGGGCAAGGGCATACGAACGCACGCATTCACACACATACACACATACACACATACACACACATACAAACACATACACACACATACACACATACACACACATACACACGCATACACACACATACACACACATACACACAGAGTCCCTGTACCCGGTAGTAGGTCTCGAAGCGATCGTTATCCTTCTGGACGTCCTTGTAATCCGTCTTTGGCCTGCGATCCCAGCCAGCCTTGCGGCCCTTAGAAGATCAATATGATGCACACAGCAAGTGGCAGCACACAGATCATGAGTATGGGGCAGGTGCTGCATGTGCTGCAAGTGGGATCGCCAGTCGCGTGCATGCACGCCTGCCTATGTCAAGGACCATGCGCATCCCACGTGTTTCCTCCTTGCCCTTCTTACCTTGCCCTTCTTGAAGTTGCGAGGCATTCTGTTGTTTGTTGAAGAGTCCTTGTGCTCTTGCGTGCTTGTCTCACTCCTGATGCTTCTCAGTGGCGTCCACAACGACGGCAGCAGCAGCAGCGATGGCGGCTTGATGTAACAGGAGGCAGCGCGATGGCAGTGGCTGAGGAGGCAAGCACGAGGCAGCATGTGGCCACAACAGCGGTCAGCGACAGCATGAAAATTTGTGGTTGGCTAGCTGCCGACCGACCGACCGAGCTTTCTTCCTCCCTTCCCACTCCGCTTGCTTCTTCTTCTCTCACTCACTCTCTCTCTCTCTTCTGGCTGAACTTGCACACCAAGACCTGTCCTTTAATCGTTTCAGCAGAGCTTTAGTTGACAAGCTCTCAGGCTGTTAGGCTGTCTCCTCTTGTTGCTTACCGTCGGACGATCCCACTGAGCAGAGCCAATCCAACAACAACCACGTCTCCTTATTCCAGCTAATCGACGCGTCAGAAAAAGAGAAACATACCACTGTACGCCGAGGATACAGAGTGCACACACACACACACTCACAGTGCACACACGCATCTGCCGGAGGGGCCTGCCTGAGGTCATGAAAGCATGCAAGCAAGCCAGAGACTGGCGAGGTCCTTGCTGTTGCTGTTGCTGTTGCTGTTGCTGTTGCTGTTGCTGTTGCTGTTGCTGTTGCTGTTGCTGTTGCTGTTGCTGTTGCTGTTGCTGCTGCTGTTACTGCTGCTGTTGCTGCTGCTGTTGTTGTTGTGCGCCCCCACCGTCACCTCATCTTGTTGCTGCTGTTGTTGTAGTTTCCTGTGCATGGGGGCACTCGCTGCGGTCGCCGCTGCGGTTGCCGCCACGGCCTCCTTTGCTTCCTTCACGCAGGTGGCGTCTCGGCTCTCTTTCACCAGCCACACGTGAAAGCCCCGCAGCTCCTGCACTTTCACCTGCATCTCCGTGCCCTTGTTGTGTGTCAGACAATGGGCCAGCCGCTGCCTCTCATGCTCGCCGCTGCTGTTGGGGCGGCCGCGAGCTGGCGTGTTTGCACTGCACTTGCGCGCGTACGGGCTGTTGCCCAGCAGGCCAACGCGCACGGCATGCTCGCCGCCCTCTTCATTCGGGGTCTGGGTGCGCGCGACCAGGATGGCGGTGTCGGTCGACGCGTCGTAGCAGAGTTTGCGGGCACAGCGCTTCTGCTCGCGTGCGGCAACAGCGCCGGTCAGCTCAACACCCATCGTCCTGCCTCGCAGGGGTGCGGCCGGGCGGACACCCAGGCGTCTGAGGACCTTGTTCCCGGTTGAAGTGACCGAGGACGGCATGCGCGTGCCTGCAAGCAAGGCCAGGGCCATGTTGATCAGCACTTGGTCGTCCGGTGAGTGGTACTCCAGCAGCCCGATCGCAACATCCATGACCTGTTGGCGGTGAAGAAGGTGTGAGAGAAAGTCAATACGAAAGCAGGGAAGAACAACAACAACAACAACAACAACACACACACACACACACTCACACTCACACTCACACACACACACACATACACAAGCAAGCGCACACACTCACACACTCACGCACGCACAAGTATACACTCACACGCACGCACACACACACACACACACATACCAGTCTCGTTGCAGAGGTTGCGCGATAATAGATGAGTCCACCACATAGCACGGCACCCCAACGGTTGGACACGGTCTTGGGATAGCTGCATAGACCATGGCAACAAAAATAGAGGGAGGGAGTGTGTGTATGCGTGTGTAAGTGCGAGCATGCATGCAATCCCACACCACGCACCACACACCACACAGGTCATATGCACTTTGCTCTGCTTGCTACCTGCCACGCTGTCCGAGGAGATCGAGCGAATGGGTCTTGACGGTGGTGATGAGCTCGGGTAGCGGATTCGAGAACCAGGTCACGTCTGCATCATGCATGAGCACGTCGTACCCTTGCGCAAGGCAGTCCCGGATCAAGTACAGCCGCGCTTGCCACAGCTGGGAAGGAGATGCAAGCAATGTCAAGCAGCAATGTCAAGCAGCAATGTCAAGCAGCAATGTCAACACAAGCCTTCGTGAGTGCAAGAGCGGTGGCGAAGACGGCAAAGCAGCGCTATTCACCACCCAAGCAAACACAGGCAAGCAGCACGCAAGAAGTGAGGAAGCAATTGCACCCCCGTGAAGAAGGAATTGCACCCCGTATGCTCCACAAACTCAAGCAGGTTGAAAAGCTAGAGACAGGCCACTCTCAACACTGTGATGAAACACCGAATACCAACGCCTACATACATGCAAACACTCGTACACACACACATACACACACACAGGAGAAATACACATGACCTATCACTATCTGTCGATCTGTCCATCTCTCTCACTGACAAGATGTGTCAGAACTCACATATCGGCGCTTTGTCATGTTGAGGTTAAAGGGGACGCAACGAAGGCCTCGGTCCACACACCAGTCCAACACCTCGTCGTCCAGGCACAGCACGACAACATGGGCCAGGGCATGTGGGTGCCGGTGAGGGTGTGCGCTCGCACTTGCGCCTGCACTCGCAGAGTCCAGCTCTTGCCTCGATGCCGCCGCGCCGTCGCCGTCACTCTTTGTGCCTCTCGCCCATCTGCCTTGATCTCGTGCCTGCTGCCCAAATGACTCAGCCCAGCGTGCATCCCCGCCGGTATCCTTGCTGTTGCCGTCATCGCATGCCTCGGGCGCCCAATGCGTGCTGTTGATCTTGCAGGTGAACTTGCCTGCACGGTCAGCCTTCACCATGGATGCCAGCCAATTTGACAGCAAGTGCCGGAACGGGTAGTTGACCCCGGTGATGATGATTGGCATTGCCGGCCCATCGTCGTAATTGCTGCTGCTGTGACCGCTGTGGCCGTTTGTTGGAACAGGGCATGAGACACGGTGCACGTCAACGAACCCTTCGTCCGGCTGCGGTTGTGCGACGCTTTCTCTTTGGAGCACATTTGCAGTTGCGACAACCCCAATGCCACTCCATCCACAAGGTATTGACGCTATCACCAACACCACCACCGGCAACGACACCGCCCAACTCCCAACACCATGCCTCACCGCCGCAACCATCGCAGCCACCATGAACGAATGAATGCATGTACCGGCGAATGTGCTTCGTGTGAACGGTTGTATGAATGCACGCTTCCTTCAGCGCTTCTTGCTTCTTGCTTGCTAGCATTTGACGGTGTCCTGTCTGTGTTTGCTGTGCTTATTGTTTGGAGAGATTGCCCACACACAAACAGTTTTCGCCACAAACACCCCTTCTTGTTGTTGTTGCTTGTTTTTGATCGCTGTGGTGGCATTCACACACCATTCTGCTGCAGCTCGGCAGTCACAGCATCGAGCCAACACCCACGGCAACACATCACACATCACACACACACACACAGCACATACCACACAACACACAACACACATCACACACACAGCACACACAACAACACACACAGCACACACAACAACACACACAGCAACTCAAGCAAACCCAAAAGCAAACCCAAGCAAGACAGCACCTCCACCACCACACAGGACATGATGTCCTCCCACTCTGACAAGACATTCCTGTTGGACGAGGACGAGGACCTCGCGGGGGATGACAGACCAAGCACAACCGCCGCAGTCGTCGGTGAGGCATGGGCGTTTGAGGATACAGACGCCAACACATCCGCGATTCTTACCCCAGCAACAGAAGACGACGCACCCCCAGCATACCACGCCGATCAGGAAGAGGAGCACGAGCGGAAGGATCGCCTCGCTGGCAACAGCTCGCACGCGGCTGCCACAGCGTCAAAACGGAACATGATTGTATCCTCCTCAGCAAACGAGCAGGTGTATCCACACCACGCTCCTCCAACACGCGCTCAACACGGCCATGACGATGACGACAGCGATGACGACAGTGACGCGTCAGCCTCACCCTCGTGCTGGCTGTTCAAGGCACACTGGTACCTGGTGTTCTTGTCCATGTTTGCTTTTGGCCAGAGCATGATCATCAGCGGCGTCTTCCCCATCAGCATCACGTCCATCACGCGCCAGCTCGGATACACAAACGCGCAGGTGGGCATCCTGCCATCGCTCTACGACGCCACCATCGCCATCACCGCCATCTTCATCACCCACCTCGGCCATCGCGCGCACAAGCCGCGCTGGTGCGGTTACGCCGCCATCATCTTCACGCTTGGCGCCCTCACCATGGCCGTGCCGGGCATCTCCTACAAGCCCACGTTCCACCCAGGCGACACCGACTCGGAAGCCCAAACACTGCCAGTCGCGGACCAGCAGGCAGCGGCAAACCAGTCAAGCGTCTCCCAGCTCCTGTGCTCGTTCACGCCGCGCCCGGACGCCTGCACAGCACTGCAGGCCGACTACTCACTGGGCAAGGTCTTGTTCCTCGTGTTTGTGCTGGGCGAGCTGCTGATGGCGGTTGGAGCGTCGCCAATCTACAACCTCGGCGTCAGCTTCATGGACGACAACGTCGACCCGGGCAAGACGTCCCTCTACGTCGCCACCATGTACACCGCAACGGCTGTGGGGCCAGCCATCGGCTTCCTGCTCGGGGGCGCATTTCTCTCCACCTACGTGACCCTGCACTCGCCACCCACGGGCACGGATCAGGAGTCTGCAACGTGGATTGGCGCCTGGTGGCTGGGGATGATCGTCGCTGGGTGCATGACTGCCACAGCCGTCCCCTTTCTCCTCTCCTTCCCGAAAGCGCTGCCCGGCACGGCATGGATCAGGCGGCTGCGCGCCTCCGCCCATGCCGACGCCGGCAGCGCCCGCGGCAGCGAGGACGGCGGCAGCGAGATAAGCGCCATCCGCGGGCGTGCACAGCGGACACACGGGAGCCTGCGACTCCGTGGAGACAGCCAGACCGCATTTAGCGACGACGTGAGCAGCGATGCAGGCAGCATCAGCCCCCGCAGCACCACCCGCATGCTCTCTCCGCCGCGACAGTATGATGTCGGTGGCACGGAGAGCGAGACAGATGTGGATGACGCTGTATCGCGGGCGTCTGCTGCCCACGACCACGCCACTTCGCCTGCTGCCGTGCTGCCATCCATGACACACGACGCCAGCGACTACGATGCCAACAACCAACACAGCGCGGATACACAAGCGATCAGGCCAGCATATGGGGCTGAGTCTGAGGGCACGGCGCCACGGCCGCTCGAGATGCGTTCTCCGCTCCGTCGCATATGGGCGGTGGTCACGGGCGCGGGGGCAGACGTGCGCGACATCCTGAGCAACCCGACCTTCACCGCCGTCTCTGTGGGGAACACGCTCGACGGGTTTATTGTCGGCGGCGTGGGCACGTTTCTGCCTGCGTTTGTGGAGACGCAGTTCCACGTGTCTGCCTCTGAGGCAAGCTTCTACACGGGGGTGGCCATCATCATGGGCGTGACCACGGGCACCATGGCGGGCGGGTGGCTGGTTCGGCGCCTCAACCTCACCGCAAAGCAGACTGCCCTTGCCATTGTGTGCTTTGCTGTGATGACGCTGCTGTTTCTCAGCATGTTCCTCGTGACGTGCGCGACGCTTGATGTTGCCGGCGTCAACACCCCCTACAACTACATGCAGGACTCGCACGACATCGTCCCCGGCTGGGGCGACAACGTGACTGGGCCCGTGTGGGAAGGGTGCACGCCAGACTGCCACTGCTCCCTGCGCGACTTCCGTGCGGTGTGTCATCGCCCCACGGGTGTCACCTTCTTCACACCCTGCGCTGCAGGCTGCACACTGGACCTCTCTGCTGAGGGCATGTATGGCAACTGCTCCTGCGTCATACCCGCCAACACCACGACGACAACAACGACGACAACAACAACAACGGCAATGCCAGCGACAACGCCTGTTGCTGGTGGTGGTGGGAATGGCACGTATGGCGAGGTGGTGCACGTTGGGCGGTGCAGCGGCAACTGCAACTCGCTTCCGGTCTTCCTTGTTCTCCTGTTTGCAGCCATGGTCACCCTGTTCATGGCAGCGGTGCCCGTCACGCAGGTGCACCTGCGCTGTGTTGCCGAGGAGCAGCGCAGCATGGCGCTCGGCGTGTCGCAGGCCCTCTCGCGCCTCTTTGGCGCTGTTCCCGGCCCCATCATTGCGGGCGCCCTTCTTGATCGCGCGTGTTTGCTGTGGGAGGAGCGCTGCAACGGCACACGCGGCTCCTGTCTCCAGTACAACAACCCGCAAATGGCGCGGACGCTTGGCCTGGCCACCCTCATTGCGAAATGCGCGTCGGTGGTTGCGTACTTCTGGGGATACTACCGCTTCCCGCGCCACAGGGACGTTGCCTATCAATCTGACAAGAAGCAGATTTACGAGCTGCAAGAGCAAGGCGACGAGTCTGTGGCCTGACTTTAGGGATGTCTTGCTTTGTGTGTGTGTGTGTGTCTGTGTGTGTCTGTGTCTGTGTGTGTGCGTGTGTGCGTGTGTGTGTATGGGTGTGTGTCTGTGTGTATGGGTGTGCGTGTGTGTGTATGGGTGTGTGTCTGTGTCTGTGTCTGTGTGTGTGTCTGTGTCCGTCTGTGTGTTGCTGGCGAGCTTATCCTTGGTAGCTCGTGTTCATTGTCGCGACGCTGATGTGCCAGGTCGCCTGCAGTGCTTCGTATTGCATGTAGCACACCAACCAGGCTTGCTAACCTTGTCGTAGACATCTTCTTTCTCTGTGCACCATCATTGTCGCTTCATTATTTTTTATCCGCTTAGGTTCTGTTCCCACGAGGTCACCCCCCCCCCACTTCCATATGCTTCCTGTAGGTTCTGCTGACGTTGTCTCATAGCGCAGACTGAGAGCTTTCGTGCTCACGGCGCTGCACGAGTAAACAGTGACACAATGTTGAAGTTGACTGCTGAACGTTGAATGTTCAAGGTTGGATGCTGAATGTTGAATGTGTAACTTTACTTTGGGGCCCTTGGTTGCTCGGAATATTTCGCGGGACAACAAAGAGCCAGCTGGCATGTGAGGTCGTCGTGGTGGATGACTGCGTGGCTGAAGCAGCACAGTGAACAAGGATAACAAACAGCGGGGCAGCGGGGATGAACCAGGAAATGGCAAGTGCGCCAATTCATGCTTGTTCATATACACGCCAGGCGATGACCACAAAAAGAATGATGGCGGGTGTTGTTCTAGTGGTGGTGGTGGATAGTGAGGCCGGCGTGTTTGCGCTCCGCGTCACAGGTGCGCCTGCAGCTTTGCGAGTCACTGCACAATCTTGAGTGCCGTCTCCCGCTCTTGTTGCTGTCGGGAAGAGATGAGGACAGAGGCACAAAAAAAGGAAACAGTGGTACAAGACAGTGGGTGCAGGAATGCGTGCGTGAATGTGTAAGTGTATAAGTTATGAGCATTCGTAGATGAGCATGAGTGAACAGTGCCAGAGAGATTGCGTGTGCGTGTGTGTGCGTGTGTTCGTGTGTGTGTGTGTGTGTGCGTGTGTGTGTATGTGCGCGCGTGTGTTCGTGTGTGTGTGTGTGCGTGCGTGCGTGTGTGTGTGTGCGTGTGTGTGTGTGTGTGTGTGTGCGTATGTGTGTGTGTGTGTGTGTGTGCGTATGTGTGTGTGTGTGTGTGTGCAGTGGTGTGAATACGCGGACCCAGTGGAACGTGTGCACAAGAGTTCCCGCCTCCACTCCATCCATCACATGCCGCCGACACGGACCAGTTCGTGCTCGGTTGCGCGCATCTTGTCACGCGAGAAATCGCTGATCTCCAGCCCCTCAACAACGCTGATGACGCCGTCCTGTCATTCAGACACACGCACACACATGTACACACATACGCACATGCCCGCGTGCAAGCACCAATAGCAGCGCGTGTGAGTGCAGCAAAGCAACTTTGACACGCAGCTCCACAGCGAAGACAGCGCGCAGTGCAATCCACACACAGCACGCAATACATCACGCAGCACACAGCACACAGCACACAGCACACAGCACACAGCACATAGCACGCATAACACACACGTGCAAGTGCGCGAACACCACCATACCTTGATGGTGACGGGCATGGAGAAGACAATGCCTGCGTTGATGCCGTACTTGCTGCCATCCGTCATCACACCCATCGACGTGAACTCGCCCTGCTCACCACCGCGTCACCATCGTGCGTGTGTGAAGCAAAGTACAAGTGAGTGGGCCTGCAACGCCTTGTGGATGTACACGGGCAAGCGGAAGTCAAACCAGTTGACCGTATCTGCCAGGACAGAACATGACAACAGCTCCATGTGTGCGGAACGCGATGAGCAAACCACGGTGCTCACCTCCTTTGTGCCGTGCCACCAGACATGCATGTGGTCTGCCACAGCCTTTGCGGCCGACATGGCGCTGGACAGCTTGCGCGCCTTGATCACAGCAGCGCCACGCGTCTGCACAGCCTGTGGTGGCAGCGGTGGTGGTGGTGGTGACATGGGGTAACACGATGATGATGGTGAGACACGAGAAGCAAAGCTCGGTGTAGGGGTGCAGTTGGAACGCAACGCACGAGGAAGACAAACAAATGAAATCTGCCGAACAAAACCCACAGGCAAATGCCACCCCATACTACAACACCACAGACAACTCGTCATTCGGCCACTGCAGCCAGTACCTTGATGAAGTCACCATGGAGCCATGCCTCGTCGCCAACGGCCTTCTTCACAGACGTGCGCGCGCCGTCAGCGCTCACAATCACGGCGTGCTCGACATCCGGGTACTGGGTGGAGGAGTGGTTGCCCCAGATGATGACGTTCTTCACCTGGCTCGTGTTGACGCCGGCGCGCTCGGCAACCATGGCACGCGCGCGGCTCTACACGCAGGAGAGGACGTGGGGAGGGTCGAAGGAGAGGGTGTAGGAGGGTGGGTTGGTGTGCGTCGAGAGGTGTGGCGAGTTGTGACGTGAATGGGGAGTGGCGGTGGTGGCAATGAAGAAGATGGTCAAGGACAATGTGTGTAGCGGGAGGATGGGAGGGAACAAGATGGGGGAAAGAGCCGGGGGTAGGGGGACAAACCAATGGCACGCTCATGGTTGCTTTCGAGTGACAGGGCAGAGATCAAAGTGCAGGAATGTAACGCATGAATGAAACAGATTTGCAGGTGCAGTCTGTGCTGTGGCTGGTGCACCGACCTGGTCGAGGTGGGTGAGTGCGGTAAACTGGGACTTTGGGATGCTGGGAGCAAACTCGGAGGTGACGAGGGCGTTGGTGTTGGCCGGGTTGCCGACAACGACAACACGCACAGTCTTCTTGGCAACCTTGTCCAGCGCGGCGCCCTGCACCTTGAAGATGCCGGCGTTCTTCTCCAGCAGGTCCTTGCGGAGCATACCCTCGCGGCGTGGCATTGCACCAACCTACTTGGGCAGCGAGTGCACACGAAGGGACGTTGGTGTGCGTGCGCGTGTGAGCAGGTAGGTGTGAGTGAGGGGAGGGGTTTGTGTGTGTGTGTGTGTGTGTGTGTGTGAACATAGGGACCACAGCAACACATTCGTGTGTCTGCATGCACGCACGCATGTACGCAGACACAGTGTGACACATTGCTACGCGCACATGCAAATACCACACACACGCTCGCACCAGCATGGCTGCGTCGCAGTCCTTGAAGGCGACCATGGGATCGTCCGTGGCAACAATCTCTGCACAGCACATTCCCCAGAGCAGCACAAGCACAGGAGGGAAACAAAGGGTTGGGGAATCGGAGGCTGTGTGAGGGCAAGACACCGCAGCAAGAGGTCGCAGCGAAAAAATAAAATAAAGAATGTTGTGAACATGCGCAGCAAAGAGCGAACTTACTGTTGACGAGCTCAAAGGCGCAGTCCGAGAGCTCCATGATGACTCCGTTGACCGTGCCCATCATGGGAGTGATGTCAAGCAGGTGCAGGTTCACGGGCTGCCACACATTGTCAGTGGCAGGGTTCATCGTCATCATGATGACGGTGGTGGTGGTGGTGGTGGTGGTGATCATGAGCTCAGCACAAAGCGCAGGTTGGGATGCGTGTAAGTGTATGATTGCGTGCATGCAAACGCTCATGGGTGGTGCGTGGAAGATGATGTCACACACCTGGTCCTCGCCAAAGACGTTGCCGCGGCAGATGAGGGGAAGAAGGGAGTAGGCGATCTGGCCGGCGGCGCCGGTCACGCACACGTTGATGGGTTCCTGAACAAGTCATATGTGCGCGTGTGTGTGTGTGTGTGTGTGTGTGTGTGTGTGTGTGTGTGTGTGTGTGTGTGTGTGTGTGTGTGTGTGTGTAAATATGTGTGAGCAAGAGGGTGTGCACATGTGTGAGAACCAGTGCTGGATGGCAGATGACGTGAGACAACTCCACGACAACGAATGTCCGACAAGACAACACACGGACGCACACAGCCTTGCACACCCACACGCATCTCATGCGCCCACGATCGCACCAAAACCACACAGATCATGCATCTATCCACCCGTAGGACATCCTGTGCAGTCCCCCCTCCCCTCACCTTCTGAGCCATGATGCTGGTGCTAAGAGGTGGAGAGAACGAGACGGTTGTGAATTGGCTGGATGGATGGTCACTCGCGGTCAGTGAGTGGTCGGTCGGTTGGTTGAGCAGTGCGGAAAGAAAAATGATTTGTGTGCACAGTGGCAACGAAGCAACAACAAAGATCTGATTGCACTTGTTGCTTTCGTTTGCTTTTCGTTCGCCCCAGACATTGCGTCACGCTCACATACAACTGAATTCAGTCACTGTGGTGTTGAGATGAATTGCACATATTAATCGCCCGATATCGACCGCTGCAAACGACACAATCAGCAACAAGCAGCGCCATCTCGAACACGGAGACCACCATCACAACGCCATGTCGTTTGTTGAGCCGCAGAAGCTGCTGGCTGCGGAAGCGCACATCCCCGTGTGGGAGACGAGCGAGGCGTATCGCAGGCTCATCTCCTTCATCGAGACCATCGGTGATGCCGTTGTTGGGAAGACAATCAGCGACAGAAACCCAGAGCCATCGAAGGTGAGTATGCGTGTGTGTGTGTGTGTGTGTGTGTGTGTGTGTGTGTGTGTGAATAGGGGGGTCGCTCTGCACTTTGTGGCAGCAAGAGGTGCACATATGTGTGTGTGTGTGTGTTGTGTGACTTGTGTGTGAGTGAGAGTGAGAACACTCTGTGTGCATGTGTTCGCTGCTTGTGCTGCCGCTCACAACTCCATCGACGCGTGCGTGCTTTGTGCAGTCGGTGAAGAAGCTGTTGGGGCTGCTGGACCGTGTGGACAAGCTCATCGATGACACTCCGCCAGTCGAGACAACGGGTCGCTTTGGCAACCCTGCGTATCGTGACTTTCACAAGAAGCTCGAGGAGGTGCGTGTCAATGAGCGTACGTGTCAATGAGCGTGCGTCGTTGTTGAGCACTCCTGTTTCTGTCGCCATGTTTGCGGCTTCCTGGCTAACCTCTCAATGGCGGCTGTGTGCGTTTGCGTATGTCGCAGCAAGCGGATGAGCTTATTTCAGGCATCCTGGACGGTGCACACAAGGGAGCCGTCGTTGAGCTGAAGCCATACTTCCTGGACTCCTTTGGCAATGCCAAGCGCATTGACTACGGCAGCGGTCTGTGAGTGTGTATCTGTGTGTGTTTGTATGTCTGTCTGTTTGTTTGTTTGTTTGTTTGTTTGTTTGCTTGTTTGTCTGTCTGTGCTGTGTCTGTGTGTCTGTGTGTGTATGCGATGCAACACTGTGTGTGCGTCTGTGCGCGCTTTTCACTGTCGGCGCATCTCTGTCTGCACCTCCTTCGTCCCTCTTCCCCCCCCCCTTCTTGCCGCTCAAGTCTCCATCTACAAGCCAGTGTGTCCACTCACGAATATGCTGGCCTTGCTGGTTTTGTTTGATTAGGCCATGAGTTGGCATTTGTTGCTCTGTTGTGCTGCTGCAGCTTGATTCGCATGTTCAAGCCAGAAGACACATCCTGCCTCTGCCTTCACATCTTCCACAAGTGTGTGTGTGTGTGTGTGTGTGTGTGTGTGTGTGTGTGTGTGTGTGTGTGTGTGTGTGTGTGTGTGTGTGTGTGTGTGTGTGTGTGTGTGTGTGTGTACGATTGAATGGTTTCATTGGGTCATGCTTGGGCGTATCGGTTTGGCCGCCAGCTCCTGTTGAGTTGTTCGCGCGGAAAAGCGAGTGTATGGTCTCACCAGCGACGCTACATGTCACTGCCGCTACCGGTGCAGGTATTTGCAGATTGCGCGGCGGCTGCAGGAGACGTACCGGCTTGAGCCTGCAGGCAGCCACGGCGTGTGGGGACTCGATGACCACCAGTTCCTCTGCTACTACTGGGGCGCAGCGCAGCTCATCGGTGTGTCTGTGTGTGTCTGTGTGTCTGTGTGTGTCTGTGTGTCTGTGTGTCTGTGTCGGTGTGTGTCTGTGTGTGTCTGTGTGTGTCTGTGTGTGTGTGTGTACTTGAGGTTGTGGAACAGAAGGGCGGTGGTGCAGTACATACAGCTTGATTATTGACCATTCCACTTGCCACAACCACCTGCTCACGCATGCGCTGCACCTGCCTGTCTGCAACCGTGCATACCCGCCTTTATTCAGGGCACGAGGAGCTGACACCAAAGATGATTCCAGACCGTGCCCGTGCGCAGGAGAACGGCGACGAATTCCTCTTCTTCGATGCAATCCGCTTCATCTTCAAGGTCTGTCTGTGTGTGTGTGTGTGTGTGTGTGTGTGTGTGTGTGTGTGTGTGTGTGTGTGTGTCTGCGAGGGGGGGGGGTTTCTACGTGTGTGTGTTTGTGTGTGTCTGTGTGTGTGTGTGTCTGTGTGTCTGTGTGTCTGTGTGTCTGTGTGTCTGTGTGTCTGTGTGTCTGTGTGTCTGTGTGTGTGTTTTGTGCTGTTGCCGCAACTGCTGCGACTGCTTCACGCATCTCACATGCTTTGTGAATCGCATACACGTGCAGCTGAAGACAGGCCCTTTCTTTGAGCATTCGCGCATGCTGTTTGACATCTCGGGCGTCCCAGAGTGGTCCAAGGTGTGGCCCATGCAATCGATGGGGAGGGAGATGCAGTCCCCCAAAATTACAATCACACCCCCTCACTCACTCACGCACACACGCACGCACTCACTCACTCACGCACACACGCACGCACACACGCACACACTCGCTCACTCACTCACTCACTCACTCACATGCAGGTGCGGTCTGGGCTGATGAAGATGTACAAGGCGGAGGTGTTGAGCAAGCTGCCTGTGGTGCAGCACTTTATGTTTGGCTACCTCCTCCCCATGGACAAGGAGCTGCCTGCCGTGAGCAAGGACGGCACAAAGGCTGCGCCCAGCACAGAGGGCAGTGCTCCTGCATACAAGCCCGCCACGGCGTTTGGCCCCACGTGGGGTGGGCCCGTGCCTGCACGCAACCCTGGCCAGAGCAACCCCGTTGTTGTTGATCCGGCAGAGGCGACGCCCGACGGGCCCATGCCCATGACCGCGTTCCCCACCAGCGGTACGGCGCGCACGGCTGCACCCGCTGTGCCGCCAATGGGGGCCCCTCCCGTTGCCGCCACGCGGACAGGTGGTGCGCGCGTGGCAGAGCGCGGCTCTCTTCGACCCCGCCAGCCACCAAAGGCATCATAATCTCCCTTGCCTGTCGATGTCTGTGTTTCTTCTGGGTGCAGAGAGAGAGAGAGAGAGAGAAAGGGAGGGGGGGGGCGAGGGAGGGTCTTGCTGTTCTGTTGTTCAGAGAGACACACACATAAACTCACAGCACAGAAGCAGCAAGGAAGTGAAGACAGCAAAAAGCAAAGCACACACACTGAACATGGCAACTGTTGGGCGAAGCACGCAGGAGACCACGTCTCAAGGCCAAGATGGGCAGCACCGCATGCGCGTCGATGCCAAGTACAACCAGCTGAGCGAGTACAAGCCGAAGCTGCGCAAGGTCATGCTGGTGCTGAATGCCTTCTATCTCATCACCGCCATCGTCTCCGCATATGTGTACAAGCAGAACGGCTCCACCTACCTGCACCCTGCCATCTTCGCCGGCCTCGGGCTGCAGGTGCTGGCCAGCCGCGCCCTCAAGCGCAACAGCGCAGGCATCCTCGTCCTGTTCTCCACCCTCACCTCCGTCGCGGGCGCGTACCTGGTGTATGCGGGCGTGGGCCGCACCATGACCGTCATCGAGATTGCCGGCGCGTCGCCGTTCACCATCTTCCTGCTCGTCGTCAACGCATTGGGGGCTCTCGGCCATCTTGTTGCCGTGTACTACGCTCGTCGCCTCGTCGATGCCATGCGCATCACCGCCAGGCAGCGACCAACCAAGTCCAAGAAGGCCCAATGATTCTATGTCTGTGTCTCTGTGTCTGTGCCTGTATCTGTGTGCTTGTGTGTGTGTGTGTGTGTGTGTGTGTGTGTGTGTGTGTGTGTGTGTGTGTGTGTGTGTGTATCTGTGTCTGTGTCTGTCTGTCTGCCTTTCTGTGCATGTGTCTGTGTGCGCGCGCTGCTTGCGCTTTCTTCGCACAGCACGCCCCTCTTCTCTTCTTGTTTGTCTTGGCGCTGCGTACTGCCTGCCGTGCTCTGGCGCGTGCAGTGCCAACTTTGGCCTGACTTGCCACGATGTGCCCATGTACCCACGCTGCTGTAGCTCGAACCAATGAACCGTGATGATTAATGCATGTGGCTGCTGCCTCTTTGGATACAAGTGCGCAGTGTTGCTGCACGCATGAGTGCACCGAGCGCACGGTGTGGAGACCTGCATGGCCCAACCGAGTGGGCCCAGCTCAATGGCTGGAGTGTGGGCGCTTCGATCAATCCATTTCACGCGCAGACGGTTACAGAGGACGATGTCGGCACTCGTGTCGACGCCGTGCTGGCGGCGTGCGCTGACACGTCCACGCCGTCAACTTGCAACGGTAACAACAGTCAGTTGACGGCAGAGAAGGGGAAGAGGAGAGGGAGTGTAGGTGCGGAGGCCTGCACTTTCTCTGGCTGACGCCGTCATTGGTGGTGTTGAGCTCATCGCCACTGCTGTTGTCACTCTGCTTGCATATGCCGCCATATGCACATGGAATGCCAGATGCCGTACTTCACGCTGCGTACGGGCGATCGGATCCCGGCCATCGGCATTGGCACGTTCACTGGCACGCGGTTAACGCAGCAGGCCGAGCCGGGCGACATGTACGACAACATCATGCCTCTAACGCGCTTTAATACACGACCATACCTGGACAAAGCACAGAAGCTTCCACAACACTTGCATTCGTGCACATTCCCATATGCACGCACACACGCATGCACGCACAAATGCATGATCACATGCACCTCCTCCTGTCCATTTGCTACTCCACACCATGTCTGTGCCGTCACCCGACGAGCTGGTCTGCATATGCGCAGCACAGCCAGGTGTTGTCGACACAGGGCAAGTGCCATGCAGTCTCGGTTGGCTGTGCGACGTTGTCATGCTTTGGCGGCCACATGAGGTTGATGGTGGGCTGTCGGCTGCCTCGTTTGTACACCATATCGTAGCTGATGCAGTGCCCGCGCCGCCACCGGTCAAACAGATGTCCACCGGGTATCTGATTTGTGTGTGTGTGTGTGCGTGCGTGTGTGTGTGTGTGTGTGTGTGTGTGTGTGTGTGTGTGTGTGTGTGTGTGTGTGTGTGTGTGTGTGTGTGTGTGTGCGTGTGTTTGAGATCTTCATCCAGGCTCACACCGGCGGCACGTGAGCGCCCAGCGTCATCACAGCATCACCAACGGCAGGATGTCATCGCACCTTTGATACGCGGTACATGTGGTCGCGGAACATGTCGTTCGTCAGCACGTATGAATGCGGCTGTGGGTGTGTGGGTGTGTAGCAATGGCGAAGCATAAGCAAGAATGGTGAGCTGTGTGAAACCATCTACAATTGGGGAGGGGGGGGGCTTGCAGAACAGTCATTGTTCCAAACACAACAGTGTGCAAGGAACGTCTTGCATGCACCAGCAAGACCACACCCCACTCACCACCCCACCCATACCGCCACCGCCCCGTTCCAGGACACGCCGTATTGCATACCCGCAATTGGACGGCCGCACAGATGAATCGAATGTCATCGGACAATTTGTCCGCCAGCAGCAGGAGGCGACCTGTTCCATTGCAAAAAAACGAGTTCGTGGTAAGCCTGACGTGTGTGTGTGTGTGTGTGTGTGTGTGTGTGTGTGTGTGTGTGTGTGTGTGTGTGTGTGTGTGTGTGTGTGTGTGTGTGTGTGTGTGTGCATATGCACTTGTGGCATCATCACACCACCCACCTTCGTCCTGCAGCTCGTCTATTCTTGCTTGTTGCCAACGATCTGAACCGTCAACACATACACACACGTACACGCAAGTGCACACATCAGTTTGTGATGAATGACTGTGAGTGCCGAAACTGGCAGTGCAATGCCGATCAGTTCATCAGCTCGTCCACCAACGGCATGAACGTTCATGACGCAACTGAGTCAAATGTCACCCACTTGTGCGCTTGATGGCGTGGCGTCGCAGAACTACAACGTACGAATAACCGGCAGCCTGACAATCACACACAATGTGTGTTGTGTATGTGTGTTGTGCGTGTGCGTGTGCGTGCGTGTGCGTGCACGTGTGTGAGTGCTCAAAACTTTGGACGACCTCCACTCCATTCTCACGACCGCGAACAACAACGAACATCAGCATGCCCTCCACCAACACATACACCGGCATCACCTTGAGCTGGTGGGCGACAGCGAGAACGAGGTCGAGTTGAAACGCCTTCACGCCAAAGTGGCCGACGTTCAGCCCATCAATGAAAATCTCGACGTCACCCTGCACACACATGCACACACGCGCGCGTGCAGTGCAGGGCGATGCATGGGGTGGATGGAGGCGTCCTACGTGTGAGACACAGCCCACACACCATCTCGAAATCATGCACACATGCACAAAAGGAACGTGTTCACTCACGCACAGCCGCACACACGCATGACACACACAAGTGTAACCACACACGCAGATGCCCGACAACACCCGCCCATTCACACGCACACACACATACGCTATTGACACACGCACACACATATGCTCTTACACACGTGAGTGCGCACTCACGAGGTTTTCGATCATTTGTTTGAGGCTTGCGACCTCCGTGTCCGGTACGCGCTCGTGCTGGAGATATTGCGTCACGGCGCCGCTCAGTTGCGAAAGGTCGTCGTCTGTCATGGAGACGGAGGTGGGGAGGCGGAGCGTGAAGGACGTGGCATGTGGTCATCACATGGAGAACAGAATGCATGTGCGCGTGTGTCTGTCTGTCTCTCTGTCTGTTTGTGTGCCTGTCTGTGTGTGTGTGTGTGTGTGCATGTGTGCATGTGTGTGTGCATGTGTGTGTGCATGTGTGCATGTGTGCCTGTATGTGTGTGTGTGTGTTGTGTGTGTTCACGTGCATGTAGACCATTGTACCTCGCAAGCGTGCGCATGAATACATGGCAGTACGTACCGCTGAGGGCGATGGGTCTGAGGGCATCTGCGCATGACATACATCGACCCGTGTGCTGCTCGATGGTGGTGGGCGCCACATCCCACTCGTCGCTTCGCCCAACGTGCTCCAGAATGGCCGCGCACAGCCGCTCCCCAAGCGCTGGAGTCGTGATGTGGCGGCATGTGGTGGTGTGGTGGGTTCGTGTGATGGGGTGAAAACTCGGGCGTTGGTGCCCATCATTTGCAGATGAAACAGAGTGTACACCACCGTTGCCTGAAGAGCAGGGAGCAAGCACACACACACACACGCACATACACACGCCCACAACCACACGCTACAACCACACATACATCCACACACAAATGAATATGATTGATGCACGGGCACACGCAAACTCACGTTGATTTGATGTCTCGAAGAGGCGAAACAACACGGCCAATTGCTGAACACGTTCGTCTCCGCACAGCTGCTGCACCGCGCACTCGACCACAACCGCCAGCACATCGTTCATGCTCTCATATGCAGAGTGACCCTGCGACCGCAGTATGCAGGCGCGAGCACGTGAGTTCGGGCCGCATTGAGCACGGTGTATGTGTATGTGTGTGTGTGTGAGTACATGTTTGTGTGTGACTACGTGTGTGTGTGTGTGTGTGTGTGTGTGTGTGTGTGTGTGTGTCTCCCTGCTGCGCTGCAACCCTGCGTGTGTGAGCGTCTGTTCATACCGGATATGGCATGCGCAGCTCGTCCATGACGCGCGAGACCTCCTCAATGGCGACCGTTGCGTCCACGCGCGCTCGTGTTTCGATCAGCTACGTCCCGGCAGCAGCCAGCCGTGGGAAGATGGTGCGACCATGATGCACAATGGCGAGAAGCAACGTGGTGTTGGTGAGAACAGTTGGCATCAAGCTACACACTCATTTCGAAACACCCGTGCGATCAAAACACCCACACACACACACACACACGCACACACACACACACGCACACACACACACGCACACACACACACACACGCACACACACACACACACACACACACACACACACACACACGTGTATGAATGTGTGCGGGCGCAAGCAGTCAAACACGCCTCAACCGCGAACAAACACACACGCGCACACAACAACCCGTCAACCGCACATGCTAAACCGCACATACACATACACATCACATACATAGCATCATCACCTTCCCCTTCCCGTTTGCTTGTGGCATTGCCCACCTTCCAGAAGGTGCGGTAGTGCGGGACAATATTGAAGCGACGCATGGTGTTGATGACGTCCTGCGCCAAGTCCAAGTCGTTGTTGGACGCGCAGAGTGCCACCAGCTTGGAGAGCACGTTCTCCGATGGCTGGTAGCCCACAGAGAGCAGCATCTCGTACGTCTGGAAGGCTTTGAGGGGCAGGTTCGCTGTTGCAAAGATGTAGAGGAGGGAGTGGAAGCTGGTGTCTGGCAGCAGAATGCCTTGGTCTGCAAGCGCAACCGATTTCTGCAGCAGCACAGACGCCATATCCACGTCCAGATCCTTTGTTGCACGATGGATGTCTCCCAGCATCGGGTGTTTGCTGACCAGCTTTGGCTGAGAAGTGCTTTCGCTGTCTCCGTGATCGCCAGACAGCGTGAGCACCCGCGCGTCCTTGCTCAGGATGCGGCGAATGTCGGCGCGCTCGCTCTCCGTCAGCGCCGCTGCAACTGTCGCTGTCGAAGCCGCTGAGCCCACGGAAGCGGAGGAATACGTGGAAGTCCGCCACGCAGCGCTGCTCCTATGCAGATGTCGAATCGACGCCATCATTCGTGTCATCATCGCACCTGTCGTGCATGTTCCTACTGTTGCTACTGGTGCTGTTGCCGTCGTTGTTACTGGTGCAACTGCTGCTGTTGTTGTTGGTGCTGCTGTTGCTGTTGATGATGCTGCTGCTGTGCATGCTGTTGGTGTTGTTGTTGTTTTTGATGATGCTGCTGCTGTGCATGTTGTTGGTGTTGTTGTTGTTTTTGGTGGTGCTGTTGTTGGTGCTACTTCTGTCACTGGTGCTGCCGTTCCCGTTACTGCAGTTGCAGCGGGCGCAAGCACGCTATGCGCCCTTGCAACATGACCTGTGTTCCACAGTGTACTGCGACTCCTTGCCCACCGCACTGAACCACCACCGCCGCCGCCACACAATGCACACAATCCACCACCACGGGTCGCCAAGCGTGCCCACATCATCAACAACCAACGTGCCCACAGGACTCTGCGAGTGCGGAATGTTGTTTATGATACGCGTATATTTTCCACAACACGCGTCCGCGGAGAGAAGAGGCGATGCGGAGGGGACGACAAGCAGCAACAGCAGCGCCGCAGCCGCTGTGGCGTGCGTTGGAGCGCATGGCCTGTGGCAACAGCTTTTACAAGGCAGCGTACGAAAGGGCGCAGAGGCACGTGCAGCCCGTTGTTGTACACGCCGAGAAGGTTGCAGCGCACCAGCACAATCAGCAGAAACAACACCAGTCACGAACAGCTGCCACACCACCATCCATTGCACAAGGTCCAATGGCCAGCAACAGGAATCGCAGCGCCCACCACAACAACCACAACACACACCACAACACACACCACAACACACACAACAACCTCAACACCCACAGCGCCGGTGCATTTAATGCGCAGGTCACGTCAGACACACATGCGGCGCAGGTCACGTCAGACACACATGCGGCGCAACGCACACAAATCACACACACTGCACACAATACACACACCAAACACAACACACATACCAAACACAACGCTCACAATACACGACCGCACCAGACCAGAAAGGGGGCGCCGTCGGCTTCATCATCGCCATCACCCGTGTGTGCCACTTCAGCGGCCACGCCAGCACGGAGGGCGCTGTCTCCAATTGCACTGCTGGCGCGGATTGTATCCTCGGCCAAGTCGCTGGCGGCTTGCCCCGTGGATGTTAGTGTGTCCCACTCAGACAAAGGAGCCTCGCCCCTCATGCTGACATCCATGCCGTTGCCGGTGGGGTCTCAGTGCAACAGTGACTACCCACTGCAAGACCACCACCATCATCGCCTTTATCCGCAACACCAGGCACCAACCATACAACAGCACCAACACAACCATGCCACGAACAAGCAGCGGCTGTCCCAGGGTACCTTCTTCAACACACATGCAGACGACGCGTTATCCCGCTCACACCTCAGCAGCACCAAGGGTGCAGGCACAATCGGGCACAGCAATAGCAGCGCCCCTGGCGCTGAAACGCCATTCTCAGCCGCAGCCCGACTGGCACTCTTGCAAGACGTGGAGACGACATCAGCTCAACACGAGGATGATACCAGTACTTCACAGCAGAACCGCCGGCACCGCAATGCCAAGCAGCGATGGCAGCACCAGCATCAGCAGCACCAACAGGGGTTTCGGTGCACGTCCCGGGCAGAGATGCAGCAGCATGCTGAAGCGGCGCTCAGGCTGTTTGCGGTTACGGAGACACCTGCAGCCGTGGCAAGCACGCTGCAGGCCATGGAGACAGCAGGCATCGCGCTGGACGAGGAGCACGTGCACCAGCTTGTGCGGTGTTACGCGTTTGCAGGCGACACAGAGCGCGTGCATGCCACGCTGCGTGTGCTCGCGGCAGGGCACCACAGCCCCTCCCCTGCCCTGTGGACAACTGTCATGTCGGCGTACGAGCCGCCAATCACAAACGAGAAGCTCATCGCGCTCGGGCAGACACTTGATCTTTTCCTGTTCCCCGAAGCACAATCAGCATCCCTAGCCGCGGGCGACGAAGGCATCCCCTACAGCAGCCCACGCGGCAGCAGTGGCAGTGGTGCGTTGGTTGGCAGCATCGATGACATTGGTGTGCTGCGCGACCAGGTGGATCCCGCGCACCTGGTGGGTGTGTACATGTCCGCGCTCTCTGCCAGCCGGCAGCTGCAGCAGCCGCTGCTGTCGCGGTACATCCTCAAGCATGCGCACGCGCGGCTGCCGTCTGCCCCGCCCGTCGAGCTGTGGGACCAGGTGGTGTGGTGCTATGCGCTGTGCAAGGAGCTGTCTGCGGCGCGGGCCCTCCTGCAGACGATGCGGCAGGCCGGCGTGGAGCCAACCATGGACACGCACGCGTTTGTGATGATGGCGCACGGGCGCGCGTACGAGGCAGATATGGCACTGGCCATGTTCGACTCGCTGCAGCGGCAGCACACGCGGCTGTCGCTGTCTGTGTACCTGTGCATCATGGACGCCCTGGCACAGACGGCGCAGCCGCAAGAGGCACGGGCCGTGTTCGACACCATGGTGCGCAGCGGCATCGCGCCCACCACCACCGCATACAACAAGCTCGTCAAGGCCTATGCGCACAGCCGCAGCCCCGAGCTTGCCGCGCGTGTGGTGGACACGATGAGGGGGGATGGCCTCCTGCCCAACGAGACGACGTACCGGTGTTGGATGTACGGGTACGCCCGCACACGCGACCCGGCCGGCGCCGAGGCGCTGCTGCACGAGATGCAGCTGCACGGCATGCAGCCGTGTGCGCAGACGTTCAACATCCTTGTGTACTGCTACGCAATGGCCGGGGAGGTGGGCACTGCCCGGGCTGTCATCGACCGCATGATCGAGTGCGGGGAGAGGCCGCTCACCGTCTCGTTCAACGTGCTCGCAAACGCATACGGGCGCCAGCACAACCTCGATGCCCTGCGCGCGCTGGTGACGGACATGGCTGAGGCGAATGTGGCGCCCAACTTGGTGACCTACAACACGCTCATCAAGTCGTTCTGCATGAACCACCAGGTTGACAAGGCGGAGGCGACGGTTGGCCGCATGATTGAGTCCGGGCTCGCCGGCGACCTGTCCACCTGGGGCGCCCTTGCAGGCGCGTATGCACGCAAGGGCCACATCGACAGCCTCCTCCTCACATTTCGCCGGTGCATCGCAGGCGGCTGCTTGCCAAATAAGCAGATGTTCGACATGGTGGTGTTCCTCCTGTCGCGCGCGTCTGTGCCCGAGGCCGAGCGGTTGCACACCATCACGACTATTGCACACATGATTGTTGATGCGGCGCAGGACGACCCAGACGCAAACCGCGCCCTCATCCAACACTGCTTGCACAGCGTCACGGCGTCGTAGAACACGCACGCGCGTGTGAATGTGTGTGTGTGTGTGTGTGTGTGTGCGGCGTTGGGTGTGGCGTGAGCGAGACGTGGGTGTGACTTGCGTGGTTAGCTTTGTGGGGTATTAGGCGTGTCACATCATGGCTAGCTGTCTGGCTGACTTGTGTTTGGTTCTTGGTGGTGCCTTTGAATTCGTTCCTCTTGTCGTGCTTAAAGGTGTGACTTGCTGCCCTGTGCTTTGCGGCAGAACATGCAAACTTCTGTACGTTTGTTTGTTGTGCCGTTGTTATATCTGACTGATCCTCAGTGGTTCTCTGACTCCCCAGCGGTGTTTAATTTAAACGAGAGCAAGCTCCCCTGTTGGCGTGATTGTGTGTGTGTGTGTGTGTGTGTGTGATTGTGTGTGAAGGCGGCGACAATTTGTTGTTGGTTGGTTGCAGAGAGCAGGCACCGGCAACAAGCGGGTGAAGAACTGGTGGTGTGGAGATCACGAAAGCAAAACAAATAATAAAGATCCCTCCCCCACGGGGAATCGAACCCCGACCCCGACGGTGAGAGCGTCGTATCCTAGCCATTAGACCATGGGGGATCTTGTAATCACTCGGTAATTTTTACTTATATTTAGTTAATTGCTAGACGTCATGGACTTCATGGAAGACGGACAATGAAGGACTGACTGACCATATGTGGTGTGTGAATTAATTTGATGTGACAATCAAACAATACAGGAGTCTTGAGTATCAGTCACAAGGTTCCACGTTGGTCATATGAAGCAGCACATGACCGTATTTCTTTAATGCCATCAATTTTAGACCTTTGCGCGGCCGCAACCAGGCAACCCCGTGACACGCCTCGTGCTCATGTCAACACCACCATCTTAAAGCACACGCCTTTGCACACAACCCCGCAACTTACCTCGATCGACCTTGAGGGTATTGCTGCCATGAGTGGTTACGTCGATACCCAAAACAACCAGACACTGCAGCACGTGAACTGCCACGGCTTGGGCTCGTGTTTGTGTGCTGACCGTTTGGCAGAAGCCACAAACTGTCCGTCTCTCTGTGAACCCGACGCTTGTCCCCCTCATTAAGGTTGCGCGAGGGCGCGTGTGTGATCATGCATGCATGTGTGTGTGTGTGTGCGACCGTGTATGTGCGCTCAATTACGTTCCCTTCAATGCTTTGTGGCATGGGCCTTATTGTCCTCTCTGTCTCTCACTGTTCTGCCTCTCTCTCTCTCTTACGTGCATGCATCCCGTTCCCAACACCAGCCCAAATACACACCAACGTTACATGGAGAAGAGACGTATGTTCACCCGGTTGCTTCCGACAATTTATTCGCTGCACAGGCGAGGGGCACCGCCATCACCCACGCACACCAACACATTCAAAGGAGAAGCAAACGAACACAAACAGACACAACGCCACCTGCCCCCCCCCCAAAACAACACACGGCCCTCACACAAAATAAAGAAGAAAGAGGCCCCCAAGAGGACAGCACAAACGCCAATCATTAAGCAAGAGAAGAGGATGAAGGGAAAGTCAACAAACACAACCGAGCACAAATCGCACCCAAGTAGAGCCATGCCACCACCAACCCCGGAGCAAGAGCACACTGGTCAGTAGTGGCCGCATCACGGGGACAGAAGCTGCACGGGAAACACACGTCCACTCCTCGCACTCCACAGCAAGAAGGCCAGCCTCGACAGAGCATCAAGCCCGCTGACGGCATCCGCAGCCACGGCGGCATAGTCCATCGTGGCAAGGGCACGTGCACTGTAGTCCCTGCGCCCAGTCTCATAGGCAGGCGTGTCAGAGACGCGTGCAGCTGCGCTGCTGCTGCCGTTGCCGTCGGGGCTATCGAGGGTGAGCTCGAAAGCAGCCGTTGGCACCGTGGCGCTGGACATGGCATAGTCTGTCGTGGCAAGGGCACGTGCACTGTAGTCCCTGCGCCCAGTCCCATAGGCAGGTGTGACAGAGACGCGTGCAGCTGCGCTGCTGCTGCCGTTGCCGTCGGGGCTATCGAGGGTGAGCTCGAAAGCAGCCGTTGGCACCGTGGCGCTGGACATGGCATAGTCTGTCGTGGCAAGGGCAAGTGCACTGTAGTCCCTGCGCCCAGTCTCATAGGCAGGTGTGACAGAGACGCGTGCAGCTGCGCTGCTGCTGCCGTTGCCGTCGGGGCTATCGAGGGTGAGCTCGAAAGCAGCCGTTGGCACCGTGGCGCTGGACATGGCATAGTCTGTCGTGGCAAGGGCACGTGCACTGTAGTCCCTGCGCCCAGTCTCATAGGCAGGTGTGACTGCGCTGCTGCTGCCGTTGCCGTCGGGGCTGTCGAGGGTGACGGGGCTGCTGGCGGGGGCGGGGAGCTCGTAAGCGGCCGTTGGGGATGTGGGGGCGGACGTTGCCAGGTCTGGCTCCTCATCCTCTTTCCCGCCAGGCAGCTGTGCCAGGTGCCGCTGCGTGGCCGCAATCATGGCCTCTTGTTCCTCCTCACACCAAGCAAAGCGGAACCGGTCAAACAAGTCCATGGGGTCGTCGCCGCATTCCCACATGTGCGGGTAGATGTCCTCAAAGTGCGAGTCGGACAGTTGCTCTCCGCGCGAATAGGCGCGGGCGCGCATGCGGGCGACGATAATGTTGCGGCACGGGACGCAGAACAGCTTACACGGCGATGTGAGAAAGTAGACGTTGCCCACATCACCACGGCACATGTAGCACACTTCGTTGCCCGGCACACGCCTAGTGCCCTTCAGCATCTTGTCTGCGCAGACGGCCCGGTGCTCCTCCAGGTCCTGCGTCACCACGCGCAGCATGGCCGCACACAGGGCAGCGTCACGCGGCAGGCGCTCCGGCTCCCGCGACAGAATACAGCGCGCAAGGTGGCGGCGCGGAAGCACGTAGAAGCGCAAACGCCGGTAGTCAGCACGAAGCATCACCTCATACTGCAGCGCACACAATGGCGCAAGCCTCCACGACCAACGTACGCACTGGCCAAGCACCTATCGACATCAACACAAGGGAGGGCAGAAGCACAGAGACGTGGTCAGCGGTTGAATCGGTGTGAGTACACACCCAGCAGCACACACGCACCAGAAGGTGTGTGTGTATGTCATACATCTGTCGCCAGCGCTTCAGACCGCAACACACACACACACACACACACACACACACACACACACACACACACACACACACACACACACACACACAGGGCGACACCACCAGCCAGCCAACAAACAACGGCAAATGCTCACCCGAACCCAGTGGAGAGCGCCCGGGTTGATAAGGACAGCTTCGCCCGGCCCTTGGATGAACCGCACCAGCGGAATGTTCTCCTTGTCGAGCTCGTCAGGAGTCGGCCACCACCACGCTTCCTTGAAGTCGATACCATTCTTCTTGCAGAGCGACTCAACGCGGCCCACGTGCTCGAGAGCAATGCCGTACCACACGCACGACCCCGGCCCGACGTTGATGTGGACTTGCATCAGGCGGTCGCGGTCCTGGTGTGCAGGCGTCGCCCATCCTGCCTCCTCCAGGCGGATAGATTGACTGTTCACGCCGCGAACGACATCAAGCCCGGCGAGCATGGTGCCGCCTCCGCGCCAGTGCAGCTCGTCGGGGAGGGTGACTCTTAGCTCCTGCAGCTGCTCTTCGGACACGTTCTGGCTCAGACATGCGCTGGGGGAAAACGCCGCACACCCCCGGGTCTCGAGCATCCCCAGGGCTCGGACCGCGGCATCCGCCTCCGCATGTACGGCGCGCACGACGTCCTCGCTTGCTTGGTAGGCGCGGGGTGGGGTGACACGTGCTCGAAGGACGGAGATGGCACCGGCACTTGAGCTGGAACCACGGCTGCTGTCGACAGCTGGTATTGGCAACGACCATTTTGCTCGCTTGGGCTGGTGCTCGTCTTGTGTCGTGTGCGTTGGGTCGGTGGGAGCAGCCATCTGCAGGTAGGCGGGCAAGAGCACTGTCTTGCTGCTGCCGTTGTTCCTCTCTGCCTTGAGCCTCCAGCCGCTGCAGCTGGTCTGCACTTGGGTGCTCAGCGGTGTCGAGGGGCGGGCGTCCGGCAGCGGGTACTTGAAGGTGAAGCCCGGGCAGCGGAGAAAAGGTGGGCTATCGACTGTTGGAGTGGGCAGAACACCCGGCCCAACGCCGTGGGTCGTCAGATACGCATCCTTCCACACCACTGACGATGCAGTCCGAGGCATGGCGCAGGATAGCGCGCAGGAGAGGAAAGAGGGGAGAGAGAAGGGATGGATGAAGGAGAGTGGACGAGAGAGGAGAGAAGAAAGGTGGGTAATGGCCACCACCAGAAACGGAGAAGACGAGGCGTGCTTGGGAAGCACAGGCACCTCAAGTGCACAGGGAGGATAGCACAGATGCGCTCAAGGGACTGACTTGATATCAGAGGTCCAGATGAAAATGAACCGAGAGGATGGCGCTGAGCCATGCATACATGCACCTATGGAAAAAAGGAGGAAGGAACGAAGAAGTGCACAGCGAACCAAGCAAATGCTGCGGAAGAGGAATAAACACTGTGTGTGTGTGTGTGTGTGTGTGTGTGTGTGTGTGTGTGTGTGTGTGTGTGTGTGTGTGAATGGGTGGTTGTGCTCGGCTGAAATTTGAATTTCGTTGCCAACGCAAGAAAAGTGGGAAAGGTGCCGAGGACGCACGCAACGCACACAACGCACAGAGCCGCCGATGCACAACGGGCATGGTGGATATGCGCCCGTGGCCTCAGACGGAAAAACTGCCAACACTGGTGCGAAAAGCAGCCATCCCCAAAGCAAGGGGCGCAGCGCACAGGCCGCAGTGCAACAAGGGTGTCCGTGTCCGTGTCCGTGTTCGTGTGTGTGTGTGTGTGTGTGTGTGTGTGTGTGTGCGTGTGGGCGCGTGATGGCACGTAAGAGCGTGCTGGGTGGATGACGAGAGGAAGACAGTACGAGAGTGAGGGCATGAAAGGACCGTGAAGATGAAGATGAAGAGGAAGAGGAAGGAGGAAGGGGGAGGTAGTTGAGAAAAGGCGAGGCAGGCGGGTAAGAGTTGTGGTAACTGCCACAGGGACCCGCCAAGATGGAAACTGGCTGTCACCTTCAATGCACAGGAGCGCGCGCTCATGCACATGTGCACACGCAAGAGACAGTGCTTAGAATAGGGCGCGCGAGACAAGAGGAGAGATGGAGACTGAGAAGCACTGGCACCAGCAGCAGCAAGGGAAGCGCTGGCAACAGCAGCAGCAGCGGCAGTAGCAAAAGCGCGCCAACAGTGGTGCAACAAGTGCAACAACAACAAGCGCGCAAGCACCAGAGAGACAAAGGGAAGAGCTGGCTGCCCGTGTGCCAACAGCAAAGAAACAACACACTGGCCAAGAAATGGGCAGTGCAGCCGGCGACCCAGCCAACCCAACCAAAAGCAAGCCACGCAGGCAAGCACAAAGACCCCGCTTTGCCCCCGCGATAGAGGGAGGGAAGAAGGAGAGGAAGTTGGTGGTCGCGGGTTTGGCGCCAACGTTCCCTCAGCCAAGCACCATCAGTCCTTCATCACGAAATGTGACGGGCACATGGCAGGGGGGGGGGGAGAGAGTGTGTGTGAGTGTACGTGTGCGTGTGAGTGTGAATGTGTGTGAGAGAGAGGATGAGAGGTGAGCGCACAAAGAGCACCTCCACTGAAGAGAGGGAAGGAAGACGGGAAGAGGATATGGGGGTGGGGGTGGGAGAGGTGTGATGGGAATGGAGAGGAAGAGGAAGAGAGAGGAAGGGGGAAAGGAAAGAAGCAAGAGCAACGTGTGCCACTGCCGCAACGGAACCACGCGCGTGAATGAAAAACAAACCCATCTGACACGATGATGACATCAGCAAACACGTTTGTTGGTCCCCAACCACCCAAACACACCAACAACAAAATAGCACAGGAGGAAGACGAAAGGAAGCAGAAAGGCAGTAGAAATGCAGTAGAAAAGAAGAAGAAAGGAAGAAGAAAGGAAGAAGAAAGGAAGAAGAAAGGAAGAAGAAAGGAAGAAGAAAGGAAGAAGAAAGGAAGAAGAAAGGAAGAAGAAAGGAAGAAGAAGAAAGGCGTGGGTAAAACAAACACAGACACACAGACACACATACACACACACACACAGACAACAACAACAACAACAACAGCACGACAGCGATCAATGTGTCTCACCTGCTGCTGTTGTTGCGAGGAAACGATGACGAATTTCGGAAGCAGCGTGGTTGGGACGTGGGTCCACTCATGTCACACCCATTTCTTGATATCCGTGTGACGGCTGATGCGAAGAAGCGCTCCGCCATGCTTATATGTGTCCACTGCTCAACTTGATCGGGTGAAGGCGTGTGCCTGTGTTGTGTGGGAGCCGGTGTGGAAGAGAGGTGGGCTTTGCACACTCTTGCAGCAAGCAGCATGAACGCTTCACAGCATCACCCAGCGGTTATTGCTGCAGTTGCTGGTATGGCTACTGCTGTCATCCTCTCTTGCTCATGCTGTTCCGTCATCATCATTCCATTCCAATGACGCTTGAGGCGAGCAGAACGCTCGCGTGTCACTGTCACGCGGCAGTGGCTACGTGCCTGCTTCGTTTGTTTGGGTGCATCGTGTCAGCAGCACAAGCAGTGGCGCGCCAAAACCAGGAAAGGCAATTTTGACCTTTTTCACAAAGGCAATTTTGACTGAAGCTTCCTTGCTTGTGTTGGTGAACTATTTTGAAATCTCCAAAAATTCTCAGGTCTCCGAAGATCCCCCATGGTCTAATGGCTAGGATACGACGCTCTCACCGTCGGGGTCGGGGTTCGATTCCCCGTGGGGGAGAAGTGTTTTCTTTTTGTCCCTGAACGACCCAAACGGCGTGCTCTGTTGTGCTGCGTTGAGCCCGTTCCTCACTTGCCATTGTGGTTTGTGGTTTGTTTGCTCGAACGCTTGACCTGACGCGCTTGACGTGGTGGATGGATGTCTTGGGCTGTATTGATGCAACACTAAAAGAACGGGAAAGGACAGAAGCTATGCCCAACAGTGCAACCAACGCTGCTAACACTGCTGCGAGAGAAACCAGAAACATGACTCCGGTGACCAAGGAGATCGGGGAGGCAGGAAGTGGAGGGAAAGAATCAACCTCGCGTATTGTGTACGGCAGAGGAGACAACGAGCAGCGAAAAGAAAGAACAGTCAGTCACCGCCGAGCGAGGGAAAGGGCCGTGAGATAGGAAATGAATGATAACAGCAGGCGCTGGGGAGGGGAGAGAGCTGCAAGGCTACACACGCACACGCACACACACACGCAGCTTGGTTACTCCATGCCCATCCTGTCGGTGAGCCAGAGCGCAAACTCATAGCCGACGAAGCAGGCCGCGTTGGCCGGGAACGCGCGCGCCATGACAGCGCTGAAGCCGCGGAACAGAGCACCCACGCCTGTGCACGGTACGCGGGGGCGGCCAGGGGAGGTGAGTGAGGAGGGGGGGGGGCGTGGAAAGGAAAGGCGGAGAAGAGAAAGGCAGAATCATGGGTGAGCGACCACACACACACACACACACACACACACACACACACACATAAACGTGAACGCACATAGATAAGATTCACACCTCCCTCCACCACCACACACACACACACACACACACACACACACACACACACACCAACAAACACCCCCCCCCCTTTCAAGTACACCTGCACCCACACACGTGCGGCCCTACCGTCAGTCTTGATGATGTCTGCGAGCACGGGGAGGTAACCAGAGTAACGGCCGTTGGGGGCAACCTGCAACACGCACACAGGCAACGTATGGGGCGCAGCCAAGGGTGAAATCGAGCAAGGCAACACACAGCGAGTTAGAGCACAATGGCCAGGGAAACACAAAACAGACCACACAGACCCACTCATCACTGCCCCCATTCCCTTGCCCACGCACAAGCTCGCTCGCTCCACACAGACCTGGAAGCGTGTCTTGACAGTGTCGATAGGGAGGCAGACGGCCCAGTTGCCCATGCCGGCCAGACCGCCAGCAAGCAGCAGGCCAGGCACGCTCGGTCCACGCTGGTGTTCGAAATCGACACACGAAGAAGACGCAAGGTTAAGAAGAAACAACAAGAAGCAACAGGCGTGCCACGCCAGGTGAGCGACGTATGACGTGACACACGGCACGGCACAGGTCTGGAACGAAGCAGTCCGGCAGGATCACGGTGGAAGAACGTACAGGCATTCAAAACAACAACACTCAAGAACAACAACCAAACACGCACAGACAGACACAGACACAGACACACACCCAGACACACACACACGCACGCACAGATACACGCAGACACACCTCGCCTTCGGCGGTGAAGGCCAGCTTCAAGACTTCGTAGCCGGAAAAGTAGACAGCAGAACCAACACTGTAAACCAGGGCGTGCGTTGATGGTGTCACCCATGAGAGCACGCCGGCAAATACTGTCGGCGCAATTGCGCACAGCCACACACATACAGCCACAGCCACAGCCACAGCCACACAGACAGCCACACAGACAGACAGACAGACAGACAGACAGACAGACACACACACACACACACACACACACACAAACAGACACATGACTCACGCATCGCGGGCAAATGTGGCGATGAGGCCACGGTTGACGTTGCGCAGGCCGCCCTCCTTGTAGAGCTGCTTGAAGGCGTCCATGGTGCCGTTGTACTTGGGCTTCTCCGCAGCGTTCTGTCACGAGGGAAGGGACGACGAGTGGGAGTTGGTGTGTGCGGGGAAGAAGGGAATGCAGTGAGGCAGCAGCCGCGCAACGGAGGGTGGAGGAAACAGAAACGACAGACGCGCAGAGGGGCACGCAGGCATGGGGCAACGTATGTACACACACTGTCTCTCTCATTCAGATGCACACACCCATACACACACACACCCATACACACACACACACAGGACAGACACAGACACAAACACACACAAACACATTCATACATACAAACACACACAAACACATTCATACATACAAACACACAAATATGTACACACACCTGAGTTTGGAGGAGGCACTTGACACGCTCGCCAGGGGCCATGATCGGGGTGGTGAAGAGGGCGGAGGTTGCGCCGGCAAGGGCGAGCTGGCCAAGCTTCCTGTTCTCAATGGCATCTTCGTCGCAGAACAGCTTCTTGCCGTAGCTGTCGGTACACCAAAGTGCATGAGAGCAGGGTGAAACAACAGCGACACCGGCGGCAAGAGGGATGGACAGACAGCGACACGAGCGGGCCGGATGATGCACGCAGGGTCAAATGCAACCACACAATCACATTCCAACACATGCAAACCCACAATCACACACTCACACACTCCAACACATCCACTCACACGCACGCGCACATACACGCACACAAACACCACAGGTATCCATACCTGTAGCCGAGGAAGCACAGGGCGAACATTGGAGCAACGCCAGCCAGAGGCGCAGCAACTCCCTTGTAGAGTCCAAAGAACCCCTCCTACATGCCAAAACACACGCGAACACAACATAACTGCCGTTGTGAGATGTCGTGCACGGCAGACACACACACACATACACAGAGACACAGTCACAAGCACGAGCGAAGCATAGTGCCTCCAACACGCAACTGTTCTTCTGGCCTCATACCTTGGTCACGGTCTGCCGGGCGCAATCGAACAGGCCAGAGTATTGGGGTGGCTTCCCGGGCACATGGGTCATGTTCTGCAACCGAACCTGGTTTGCGCACATTCGTTCGTGCGTGTTGTATGTGTGTGTTGTGTGTTGTGTGTTGTGTTGTGTGTGTGCATGAGTGTATGTGTTTGTGTGCGTGTGTGCACACACACGTTCAGTTGCAAACATGAAAAGCCAACTCACATCCATCGCATACAGAACACACACACACATACACACACACACACACAGGCACATAGGCACACACACACGCACACACACACACACACACACACACACACACACACACACGTCCCCTCTTCTCCAACTCCTTTGTGCACACCTTGATCGTGTCGAGAGGATGACCAACAATCACAAGGGCCACGCCACCAACGCCGCCAGCAATGAAGGAGCGCAGCGCTCCAGGCTGCTTGCTCATGCCTTTGTCTTCAGCCATTGTCACGCTCGTCGTGTGGATGTGCGGATTGGACGCAGATCAATTCTTCGGGTCTTTGGGTGGTGCAGCAGCAGCTTCGCTTGTTGTCGATCGGGATGTGGGCTGGTGGGAATGGCGCGGCACAAACACCAGCAACTCCAAAAAACCAAAAAACAACAAAACTCCGCTATTTGATGATTCGATGGCAATTTACGATCATCACTGCGCTGCACAACAAACAAGAAGAAGAAGAAGAAGAACAACGTCCACTTCTCCTGCCTCCGAACTGCTCACCGACTGTCGCTTCAGCGCTCGCGCTCTCACCCTCCAACCTCCAATGGCGTCGTCGTTGCTCTCGCGTGCGGTGCTGAGAGGCACCCGGCGGCTAGTCGGGGCCATGGCTGCCCGCCGCCATGTCGGGCCTGTTGGTATACGTGCCCCTGCGCTGTCTCAAGCAGGGTTCGCGTGGCATTCCACTGCGCGAAACGACGCAAACAACAACAACAGCAGCAGCGGCACAAATGCAAACAACGGTGACCGAGCCAACTTGGCCACTTCCACAGCAGATGCCACTACGGAAACCGTCACCAGCCTCACGGACATTGGCATCTTCTCAGACCCAGGGTGCAAGAAAGGCAACGAGGACCGCTTTGTTGTCGGTTCCGTCGGGCCCTACAGCGTCATTGGCGTGTTTGGTAAGCTGTCAAGTCTCAGTCCTGCAGAGTCCGGGGCCGGGTGGGGGTTGCCTTCTGTTTTCATCCATACCCTTTTGTTCATCACGTCAGTTTGGTGTTGCTTTGTTTTTACGGCTTGCATGACACGTTGGCGGTGACGCCGACAACAACCACAACAACCACAACTACAACCACAACCATAACCACAACACGCGCTGAGTCAACACACTGAGTGAATACGTTTCACCTCCGTTTCCATTCACACTCACGTTGCACACACACACACACACACACACACACACACACACACACACACACACACACACACACACACACATACGCGCACATTTGGCTGGCAGACGGCCACTCTGGATCGATGGCGGCGGACTATGTGGCAGACAACTTGCTGACACTGATGCGTGAGCTGCTGCCCACGTCCACCAACAACGCGGAGAGTCTGTTGGAGGCACTTGTACACCGCCTGTGCAGCGGCCTCTTTGAGTTTATGGGCGCACAGTACCCGCTGGAGAAGATGCATAGCGGCACCACGGCCAGCATCGTCCTCGTGAACGACAGCATGGTTCATTTTGCCCACGTCGGGGACAGCCGGCTGCTGCTGGTGCGCGGCGGCGCGCCTGTGCAGCTCACCCGCGACCACCGTCTCGAGGACGACAAGGAGCGGCAGCGCATCTTGGATGCCGGCGGGCGCGTCACATACACGGGGATCCCGCGGGTGGACGGCCGCCTGGCCATGACACGTGCCATCGGCGCCTTCTCCCTGCGCGACCAGGGCATCACGTGCGAGCCCGATATCGGGTCCCTCCCGCTCGACGCAGCCGTGGACAGCGCGCTCATTGTCGGCACGGACGGGCTGTTTGACGAGTTGCGGAATGACGAGGTGGTGTCGATTGCCGCCCAGCACAGGACAGCCAATGGTGCAGCACACGCGCTGGGGGAAGCCGCCCTCATGTACCGCGCGCGCGATAACGTCACGGTTGCTGTCGTGCCGCTGCCTGCTTGGTCGAGTCTGCACAACTCAGCCAGCAGCAGCAGCAGCAGCAGCAGTACACAGCCGTTTGGACTGGACCGCAACCTTGTGCGACGCGTGTCTTAAAGCACGACCGTGCACGTGCGCTCATGTGGATGCAAACGGCGTGCATGCGTTCTTGTGTGGGCGGGCGTGTTTGCACATGGCTTCGTTGCGACGTTGGTTGTGCTGTGACTTGCTTGCTTGCTTGCGTGCTTGTCGTTTTGACAACCTGTCTGTCATTTCCTGTTGTTATTCAACGCTTTGCTTTGTTGCTATCATGGCGGTTGGCCTGGACAACCCCACCCGTGCTGGTGCTGGTGCCTTTCATCTGTTGTGATTTCCCCCTTGCTCCTCATCATTCATATGTCATTGACATGTGCACACACACATGCACACACATTCTTCATATAGTAAACGTACACCCTTATTCTTGGGCCCTTGTGTAACTGTTGATGGTCGGTGAAATGGGTGCGTATGTTGTTCTCGTGGTTGAAGTTGTTGTTGTTGTTGTTGTTGTTGTTGTTGTTGTTGTTGTTGTTGCTGCTGCTGCTGCTGCTGCTGCTGCTGCTGCTGCTGCTGTTGTTGTTGTTGTTGTTGTTGTTGTTGTTGTTGTTGTTGTTGTTGTTGTTGTTGTTGTTTAAATTGTTGGTGGTATTGTGGCCTTGGTTGCGAGCATATCTGTGGCGCTTTTGTACTGCCGTGGAGGTTACAGCACGCAAAGTGCAAAGTGGGAGCGAGACAGGAAGCAAAAGTGCGAGGAAGCAAGCAAGCAAAGGGGGCAATTAACGGAACAACGATCGAAAAGGACAAACCAGGCACAGGAGGTGGGGGAGGAGGGGACGGGAAGAGGGAGAAGGGAGAAAGCGGAAACAGCGAATCAGAAGGGTACAGCGACAACAGCGAGTGGAAGCTGCACTGCTCAGTGCATGCCCTGCACACGTTTCACCTCCGTCTGTCACATGAAGGTGAGGCGAGCGAAGAAGAAGAGTGGCAGGTGGGAGAAGAAGGACAATGTGAGTTCATGCGCGATGATGTGAGGGGAGGAGAACAGACACACACAGACATGTGCACAGAGGGGGTAACACGCACGCACAAACACAAACGGACAACACACAAAAGTGATAAACACACAAACGCACAAAACACACACACACACACACACACACACACACACACACACACACACACACACGCACGCACGCACACGCAGACAAATTACACACCTCAAACTCGTGTGTCATGCGCGTGATATCGGCGCGGCAGTCTGCAAGCGCCGTTTTCAACGCTTCTTTGGGCGAATAATCTAGGAACGGTCCAGACACGGCCACACCAAAAGCAGTACAGGTGAGAAGGGCCGCAACAGGCATTTCACCCAGCAGCACTCGATTATGTCACCGTGTCTCTGTGTTGCTGACCTGGCGTTGTCTGTATTCTGAGCAAAAGATGGTGTTCCAGAGGATGAGGGCAGCGGTAGCCTGTGCAAATGGTGATGATGAAAATAGTGTTTGCAGTATTGTACGTGGGTGAATGCGGATCGACGTTGGACATGAGTACTGTCATGCCGACTTTGCAGTTCCATGTCGCAGCAACAAGACAGGACGCGTGCGCAGCATGTACCCTGGTGAGCACTCAAGACAAGCATGTACACACAGACACACACAGACACACAAACACACACGGAGATACAGACACACAGACACACAGACACAGAGGTACAGATACAGACACAGTCACGTTGGGGTGCGCACCAGAGAACAAGACGCGTGGATCTCTGCGGAGTTGGCTGCATTAGCATCACACAGAGGCACACAGGCGTGAGTACCGCATAGGCTAGTGTTGCGGTGCCATCGATTGGTGTTTGTCATTTTGGTGCTGTTGCATTGTGTGATTCAAGGAGCGTTGCGTCATTGGAATGGGTGCCGCAAGCAAGTAAGGCGTGGTGGGGAGCACCTTGCAAGCATGTTTCCGAGGGTGTGGTCTTCGCGGTTGATGCGGAACGTGCCGGCATTTGGCACTTTTGTGTCTGGCGTGTAGGTGACCTTTTGCTCACCCGGAGCCAGCAAGATGCGGTCTGCAAGACGAACACGCACAAACACATGAGCCAACCGCAACGGGGCGCAACAAGAAACGCGCAACCACACAAAGGGGTATCGAAACGCACAGAGACAGACAGACAGACAGAGAGAGACAGAGAGGGAGACAGAGAGGGAGACAGAGGGGGACACACGAACACAGACACATACAGACAGTCACACACGTACATGCGTACACAGACACAGACACACACGTACATGCGTACACAGGCACACGTACATGCGTACACAGACACAGACACACAGACACACACATGAACACACACGAACACACACGAACACACACACAGACACAATCCAAGCCACCCATCGCAATGGTGGACCACGCACCAAACGTCTCAGGAGCGTTCATCGTCGTCGGTGGCTTGTTGGAAAATTAACGACACCACATACAAATCCTCTACAACACGACCACCACGATGAGCAGCAGCAACAAAGTCTTGAAACCAGCGCATCGCTGGCTCTTGCTCAGAGTGTAGGTTCCACCGTTATGCCTCGGTGTGCATGCGTGTGTGTGTATGTGTGTGCATGTACCACAGTGGTTACCCACCACACACCTCTACCACACACGCACCGCATTGCGTTCATCTCCACCCCCTCTCTCTCTCACCCTCTCACTCTCACACTCTCTCACTGACACACTGGCAGGGCTTGGGAGGGACGGGAAGATGACTTGAATCCGCTGTCGGCGCATGCGGCGCTGAAGCAAGGGCTGACCACGCTGCACGGACAGGTAACTGAGAGCAACTCACGTTCGTACACAGCATGCACAAGCAAGCACATGCTACAACCAGCTGTTACCTCGGCTTTGTTTTCCCACAATCCCAGCCATGCGAGGTGACCAACTCTCGTATCATCTTCGCTCACTGGCATTCGCGGTTGGTGTGCATGCGCTGCTTTGTCCCACAGGTGGGCGCGAGCACACCTTTTGATGTTTTTCACGTGGAGGGCGCACTGTGCTACGTGCGCGTTCCAGTGAATGGACAGGTGAAACTCCAGTCCGCTGCGACTGCCATGTCCACCTTTGATGCTTCCCCCATCACCATCGAGACCATCAAGGTGTGTGTGTGTGTGTGTGTGTGTGTGTGTGTGTGTGTGTGTGTGTGTGTGAAAGGGAGTCAGTGTTGACTCCAAGTGTTTGATCCCTTGACATGGCTGCGTGTTGGTCTGTTCGTTTACTCCACATCGGATGTGTCTTCCCCACAGCCGCCATCATGACAACAACCCGTTCCAATCCACCACAACAAAGCATACAGTCTGTTAGCCATCCGCACACCCATCCTCATCCCCATCCCCATCCTCATCCCCATCCCCATCCTTGTTCTCGTCCTCACAATTCCCGCGCATCTGCTCCCATCGCCCACACGTTTGACGCACGGTCAGGTGTCCAGCACGCTGCTTGCGCTCACGTATCAGGACGACCCCTCCGCGGTGTCTGTCACCGTGGACTTGGACGCGGGCTGAGGGACGTGTGGATATCCCTTGTGCAAGCGCTGGCGATCCTCCTCCGAGCAGCCGGCAGCCTCCACCCACCCAACGAGTTCCGTGATCTTCGTGAGGTGTCGTGATGGTGGTGGTGGTGGTGGTGGTGGTGGTGGTGACGGTGGTGATGTGATAGAGGTGTTGGCGGCGGTGGCAGTGATGGCAGGTGAGGGAGCGCTTGGGTGTGAAGCTGCACGAGGAAAGGGGTGCGGCGCATGGAAACAGAAGCAGAAAACGGCAACAACAGCAGTCACGTGTGCGATGTGCATTGCACGCGTCAGTTGCACTATCCCCACCATCATTCATCACCACCACCATCATCATCGCCATCATCACCGCCATGATGGCCACGGTTACCTGTTCGAGTTCGTTTGGTGCGAGGAAGTCGAGAGCGAGATCAAAGCGGCGCGTGCGGCAAAACGCCTTCAGCAGCTTGCAGCACACGTTCCAGTCTTCTTCCCTATAGTGCTGGCAACGAGCGAGGTATGGTGTGTGCACAGTGTGTGTGTGCGTGTGTGCGTGTGTGTGTGTGTGCGTGTGGGTGTGAGCTCGTGTGTGTGTGTGCGTGTGCGAGCTCGTGTGTGTGTGTGTGTGCAGGAAAGAGAGGGGCATGGAGAGAGAGAGAGAGAGAGAGAGTGTGTGTGTGTGTGCGTGTAGTGGTGTGTAATGGACGATAATAAGCTATGCTCCTCTTTGTTGTGTGGGACGGTGGTTACCTCGTGTAGAACTGCAATAAACTCGCCCAACAGGCCATGCCTGCACACATGACAAGGGCGGCGGCGGCAGTGGTGTTGTGGGGACACGAAGCGAATCACGGTGTGTGTGTGTGTGATTGTGTGTGTGTGTGTGATTGTGTGTGTGTGTGTGTGATTGTGATTGTGAGTGTGTGAGTGTGTGAGTGAGAAAGAGAGGGTGTGTGTGCATGTCCGCTTGCCGTTTCCATCAGCAAAGACACACACATATTCACACCAAAACGAGTGACATCTCACCCCAACTCTGGCTTGAAGAGGCGGTAGATGGTCTTGCCGCCGAGCTCCTTCAAGAATCTGAACCATGCAAGCAATGGTGGTGGTGGCGGTGGTGCATAGGCTGAGGAATTATGCGCTTCGTGCACACTCAAAGGTGTGTAGCACAACAACATGCGTCACACATTGCATTCATGCACAGAACAATAAGATGGTAGACACCCCAGGCATACCAGCCACGACAAGAACACAGGGTCACGATGCAACTGTGTGACTCACTCGTAGCGCTGTTTGGAGTCTGCTTTGTGCCGCCAGTGGCGAAGAAACGAGTTCACGTCGGTGACTGGTGGCAGCTGCAGTGCGCTCGCCTCCACCTCGTCCTCTTGCAACATCCGGCGGCGGTTACGCTCTTTTGCCCTGCGAAGGTGGTGGTGGTGGAGTGTAAGTGTACAATGGAGAAAAAACAACAGCTCTTGTGATGGATCATTACTTAAGAACGCGACGAGAAGTACATGTAACGCGCAAAGACAACAACCACATGCAGGTACAAATACACGCACAGCCACAGCCACAGCCACAACCACAACCACAGCCACAACCACGCACACACACACACACACACACAAAGCGCCAGAGCGTGTTCTGCCTGAACACACCTTCCTGTCGTGATCCATGCGGATCTGTTGAGCTTGAGCTGGGTGATATCCTCGGTCATGGGCTTGATGTGCGCGGCCTTGACAATCTCCTCAAACTCTTCGTATGTGGCCACTTTCTGTGCGACTGCTCGGAACTTTGCGTCGTTCTCACGCCAGTATTTGTCTTCGCGTTCCACGGCATGGCTCAGCTTTGCTTGCAGCTTGTCAAAGTTGACATCCCCGTCCTTCCCAATCAGCCCCCGTCCAGCCATGATGGCAATGGTACGTGTGCGAGTGCGAGTGTGCGAGTGCGAGTGTGTGTGTGAGTGTGTGTGTGAATGTGTGTGTGTGTGTGTGTGTGTGTGTGTGTGTGTGTGTGTGTGTGTGTGTGTGTGTGTGTGTGTGTGTGTGTGTGTGTGTGTGTGTGTGAGTGCTGCGTCGTCGTTATGTTGGGGCGGAAGTCGTGACGATTAATGAACAACACCGCCAATTTTCTCCAATCAACAGCAACACCACCACACGACCACCATCAACAGCACGATGGATGAGGCAGAGTTCATGCGGCGGCTGGAGTCGTACCCTCCACTGACGCACTTGAAGGGCGACACAGCAAGCACAAGCGCAAGCAGTACACGGTCAGCGCTGCCGTCAGCGAAACAGAAGGCCCAGCGCCAGCAGCCAACACAGCAGCAGCAGCAGCAACAGCAGCAAAGGCCGCAAGCCACCACTTCATCGTCAGAAGTTTGCGTCAAGGTGCAAGGATTGCAGCCCGCCAACACCCGGCAACTCAACGCCACAGTGCGTGCATGTGTGGTGCATGTGTGGTGTGTGTGTGTGTGTGTGTGTGTGTGTGTGTGTGTGTGTGTGTGTGTGTGTGTGTGTGTGTGTGTGGTGGGATGGGGGCGTGCGTGAGGCCTATGGGGTGTGTGTGTGTGTATGCGTGTGTGTTGTGTAGCGGTCTTGTCTGCAAAGTTCTGCACGTGTGCACAACCCTGTTTTCGTTCGTGTTCTGTGAATGACAAAGCCGCCTTGCCTTTCGCCACCCTGTGTGTGTTGTGGGTGCGTAGTGCTTGAAGACAGATACAGTGGAGGAGCTGAAGCGTCTGTGGAAGTCTCAGACCAAGTTCAACAAGCCTGTTCGCTGCATTTTCCGCGGCCGCTGCCTCCCAGGTGTGTTATCAACGAGCACTCGTCATGGGAATGTGTGGGAATGTGTGTGAACCGTGTGTGGATGTGTGTGGATGTGTGTGGATGTGTGTGGATGTGTGGGAATGTGTGTGAACCGTGTGTGAACCGTGTGTGAACCGTGTGTGAACCGTGTGTGAACTGTGTGTGAACTGTGTGTGAACTGTGTGTGAACTGTTCCTGATTTTGCGGTATGCGCTTGTGTGCGGGGTGTTGTGTTTGTGGTTCTTCGTGCGTCATTCCACACTCACGCTGCTCTTTTCCATTGCTTGTTGTCTGCTTCCCTTCTGCCCAACTCTGCAAACATGCCCTTGAACCTCCCTTGTTCACCTTGACAGACACATTGCCACTGAGCCACCTTGTCATTGGCAGCAACGAGACACTGTACATGATGCCAGCGAACGTGAAGTCAGCGAAGCGCCCGCTTCCGTTTGATGAGGTGTGCACGTGTTATCGCATCAGTTTGCGCGAATTAGCAGACACTTACTCACTTGCACGCGCTGTGGCTCGTTCGTGCTTCCTCCTGCCTCTCTTCCACGTGCACGCTCCACTGTTTTTGTCACAAGTGCGACTTTCGTTGCAACCGCCATTGCGCTCATATTTCGACTGCTGTGTCTTCTTCACTGCCACCATCGGTGCTACAGGATGAGTTTTGGCCGATGTTGAAGGTGTTTTGCGAGGAGACGTACGGAACACAGCGCGCAGCGACAATGATGGCAAAATTCAAGCAGGTGTGTGTATGTGTGTATGTATGTGTATGTGTGTATGTATGTGCGTGTGCATGTGTATGCGTGTGTGCGTCGATGTGTGTGTGTGTTGATCACTGCAGCTGGCTTGGTTGAAGGATGTTTCTTGTACGACGCGACCTGCATTGTTCTCACGCGCATGCCACCACCACCGCCACCACCACCACCACCGCCAATCACAGGACTATGCAAATCGGCCCGTACAATCGTGAACACCACACCATGCACGCGTACGTACACGTGCGTACACGAGTGGTTTGCATGGCAATGTATGACTGTGTGTCTGGTCTGTATTTCCGTGACAATAGAGCTGTGATGAAATCAAAACGCAACAATGAATGGCACATGGAACCTCCAGGACTTCAACTACACACCAATGCAAACACACACACACTGTGTGTGTGTGTGCGCGCGCGCGTGCGCGGTTGACTACTCTGGCGTGGTGTCGTCGTAGCTGTTGGCCTTGTGCTTCGGAACAAACTCGAAGCTCGAAGGCGGTGGGCCAAGCAGCATCTCCCTACAATCACCGACGATGATGATGGTGGTGGTGGGGTGGGGTGTGAAGTGAAACGGAGAAAGTTGAGGTTGGCAGGCAGACACACACACACACACACACACACACACACACACACACGACACACACACACACACACACACACACACACACACACACACACACACACACACACACCACACCCACACCCACACCCACACACACACACACACACACACACACACACACACACACACGCCAACTCACGAGATCTTGACCCAGTCGGTGCTGTGCGGGCTGGCGAGGAGGGTCTCGAGGTCGTCACGGCCGTGGAATCGGGGTGGGCGCTCGTTGATGCGCTGCGGCAGGCGCTCCAGTAGCCCAACGGGGATGTAGCGGTACGTGAACGACAGCCACTCAAGCAGGAACCGCCGCGTCGTCTCAACACCCTGTGGTGATGGTGATGGTGGTGATGGTGATGATGGTTGTGGTGATGATGGTGGTGGTGATGATGGTGGTGTGTGCAGATTGATGTGTAGCAAGCACATGTGCAGGTCCGGTATCAATACTCGCATGAGCACCACACCTGCTGGTCTGATCCCCAGTGGGTGAGGCCGTAGTCAGCAAAGTCCTTGAGGAACTGAAACCGCTCGGAGGAAGAGATGTCCCAGTGGCTGCAGTGAACGCATGTGGTAGCGGCGGTGGTGGCGGCGGCGGTGAGACCTCGAGGCAGACACAGATCAAGGTGCAGAAACACACACACACACAGATACACAGATACACAGACAGACAGACAGACAGACAGACAGACAGACAGACAGACAGACAGACAGACACACGACGCACCGCTGTTCCTTGATCTCTGTGAAGAGCCAGGGCTTGATGAGGGCGCCGCGGGCGAGCATGAGGCCCGACACGCCGGTTGTCGCCTTGTGCTGCATCGCCTCCTCAAACGACAGAATGTCTCCGTTGCCGTACACGGGAAGCCCCTTTGCTTCCTCCACGCACTTGCGCACATAGCCCCAGTCTGCCAATCGCGCGTACCGCTGCTGCCGGCTCCGCCCGTGGATCTGATGGCGGCGGCGGCGATGACAGTGGTGGTGACGGGGACTGTGTGAGTCAAGGAGGAGGGACAGTGATGCAGGCAGAAAGACAGCCAGACACAGACACACAGACACACACACAGACACACACACAGACACAACAAAGTGTGTGTGCGTGTTGACGTACGCTGACGAGGGAGACGCCTGCGTCGCGGAAAATGGGCATGAGGGTGTGCGACGTCCAGGAGGTGTTGGTGACGCCAGCACGGATCTTCACCGTGATCGGCACGCGCGATGCAAAGCTCATGCCTGTCACCGTCGGTGGAGAGGTAGAGAGTGGTGGTGGTGGTTGTGGTGGTGGTGGCGTGTTCGCGAATGCGAGTGTGTACGCGTGCGACCGAGGGGCAGACAGGAGAGACAACATGCAGGCGGGGTGGGGGGAGGGAAAGCGAGACACCGAGCGCAACACATGTAAACGTGCATGTGGAGACCTCTGAGGATATCGCCGAGACGACGCTTCCTTGCAAGGAGGGCAGACCCGCTGCCGTGGTTGAAGACAAGGTCAATCGGGCACCCGCACTGGTGGTGATGGTGGTGATGATGTGGTGGTGGTGGTGATGGTGGTGATGAACATGGTGAGGAGGACACGCGGGTTGGTGGTGAATGGGCGGTGAGACAGAGTAGACGTGACCACGTGGTGTCAGCGGATACAGGGGCTGCACGCGCACACACGAAAGAAGAAGAAGAAGAAGAAGAACAAAGGGGCGGTGCAGGCTGTGGGGCCGCACGGGTGTGTTGCGTGTGGGACTGACGTTGAGGTCGATGAAGTCGACGTCTGTCTCGTTTGAGAGAAGCTCCACACACTTGGTGGTGAGGCGCGGGTGGTTTCCGCAGATCTGCACGCCAAACACATCCTCGCTCTCGTGCCGCCGCAGCAGCGCCCACTCGGACTTCTGGCCCTGAGCAGGCGTGACGGTGGTTGTGGTTGTGATGGTGGTGGTGAGGGGTGGCCGCTGTGGTGGCTGTCGTTTGGGGCGTCACGACTTACACCTTCAATCTTTCCTTATAACGAGCACAGGCGTACAGTGCGAGTGTTTGCATAGCAGCAACATGTCCGCAAGTGCTCACACACACGTACACAGACATATACGAGCACAAAAGCGCGCACACAGACACAGGTACAGACACAGGTACAGACACAGGTACAGACACAGGCACACACACACACACACACACACACACACACACACACACACACACACACACACACACACACAGTCTCTCTGCGCGAACGCCGCACCTCGAGCAAGTTTCGCGCCATGGCCATCTCGCCGCAGGTGATGTCTGCTCCGAGGCGCTTGCAGAGCCGGCGGAAGGGGAGGTTGCCGACCGTCGTCAGTGGCGCAAGGTACAGCTTGTCCTTCCAGTCAATCTAAGAGGGGGGCGGGGTGAGTGCCAGTAAGAAGGATGGAGAAAGGTGTGAAGCACGCGTGAGAAGTCAGAATGTGTGTGTGTGTGTGTGTGTGTGTGTGTGTGTGTGTGTGTGTGTGTGTGTGTGCGTGAATGTGTGTGTGTGTGTGTGAATGTGTGTGGGTGCATGTTGTTTGTAGCGACATCATGTGCGAAAGCAGGCAAGCAAACCACTTCAAGCAAAGGTGACACCCAACACCTAACCTCGAGCACCACGCCCCTCCTGACAAAGGACGACGAACCTGTTTGCGCTCCTTGTCAGCGATAGCACTGACGAGCTTCTCTTCGACCTCCTCGCGTGCTTCTGCACCCGTGTTTGCGCGGGAAAACAGCACCATGTACTCCTCTGACTTTGGAAACGGATACTTGAAGCGGCGCAGGCGCTGGCGCAGGTCGTTGCTGATGTCGTTCGTCTCGTTGATGTCAATGTCGGTGTGCACCGTATTTGCCTTTGCCACATCAAAGTCACCCGCCGGTGCTGTTGTGGTAGTTGTGGCTTCTGTGGTTTCTGTTGTTGTGGCGAGTGTCTTGTGCGAGCTGTAGAACCGGCACATGATGCCGAAGCGACACTTGCCGCCCTCCCGTTCCCAGAAGGGGCAGGGCGCATCTACGTCTGGTGGTTTCGTCTGTAGATACTTGTCAAAGTCGTGCTCAAACTTGCACTTGTCTCCATACGAGCACTGGACGTGTGTGTGTGTGTGTGTGTGTGTGTGTGTGTGTGTGTGTGTGTGTGTGTGTGTGTGTGTGTGTGTGTGTGTGTGTGTGTGTGTGTGTGTGTGTGTGTGTGGGAACACGAGTGAGTGGGGTGAAGAACAAACAAATTGTCCTGTGGAGCTGAATGGCAACGCACAAGACAATTACCTGCACACACACAGAGAGGCAGAGAGACAGAGAGACAGAGCAACAAACAAACAGACGCACACAGACGCACGCAGACGCACACACTCACAGACGCACACACACACACACACAGACACACACACGCACGCACTCACTCACCGCTCCACTCTTTGCAAAAGCGAGGCAGAGTTTGGTCTTGTTCTTCTTTGTCTTCTTGACACGTTTCCTGTGCTGTCCACGCATGTCCTTCTTGTCAGCTGCAAGGTCTGGATCCCACGGCAGAATGAATCTGTTTGACACATGCAACGTGTACGAACGCGTGTATGTGTTTGAATGCGTGACAATGCGTATGCGTGTGGTTGAGAACAGGCATCAGTCCCAACAACAACTGTATGGTCATGTGCCTTCTCTGCCACCGCCCAGATCTGTCAACGCTCAACCCTTTCGAATCCAAACACACACACACACACACACACACACACACACACACACACACACACACACGTACACACGCACTCTGGTTTGATGGGAGCGACGCCTTTGCGGACTGTTGTTGTTGTTGTCGTTGTCGTTGTTGTCGTTGTTGTCGTTGTTGTCGATGAAGCATCAGGGGGTGGCGGCCCCTGTCCACGCTGTCTTACAGGCAGCTTGTGCTTGTCACAAGCCGCCAGCATGGCAGCCATCTCCTGCTGCTGCTGCTGCTGCTCACCACTCATTGTTGCGTGTGGTGTTGTGTGTGGTGTGGTGTGTTGTTGGTCGTTGCGCGTAATGTCTCGTGTGCATGCAGCGTGCAGGGCGGACAAAATGGCCAAAGGCAAATTTACCTTTGTGTCCAAAGTCAAATTTGCCGACGAATTTTTTTTTTTGGTTGCGTTCGGTTCGCTTTTCGTTGTTTGCTGTTGTTGTTGGCAACGTTGTTGTTGACTCAGGTTCACGCACACAACAACCCACGAAAGCATCATCCGCATCATCCACGACACCACCTCATCCGCATCATCCACTCAGCGCTGACAACCAAACCAGTCTCAGCAAACACAACAGTTGCACAACACAGCTGCCCACGAGTCAAACCAACAGCCAAACACTCAAAGAGCAGCGGCTGGCCGTACGTCTCACAGCAATGGAGGCGGCATATGTGAAGAAGGCGTTGGGGACGACGCTGACGGATGCGCTGTCCCTGCTGGCTGTGTATCGGCCAGAGGATCCCGTGGAGTGGCTTGCAGACTACCTGCGCCACGAGGACAAGCGCCAACGCATCATCGCCGTGAAGAGGGAGGAGCAAGAAAAGCGGGCAAAGATCTTGAAGAAGGCCCAAGAAGAAGAGGAGCGGCTGGCAGAGCTCAAGGTGCACGCGTTGACACACTGCAGCGCCTCTGTGGCATTGCAACCTTTCTCATTGCAGGTTCAACACTCCCAGTCAATGTGCGCAAATCACGGTTCTGCAATGTGTTCTCACCGTCTCCGATTCTGCGCGTGTTCTTGTGCTGTTGTTCCCAGAGGGAGGAGGAGCGCCTGGCCAACCTGCGCAAGCCAAACCAGTTCCAGCTCGACTGCATGGCTTTCCTGCAAGAGGTGTGTATGCGCGTGTATGCGTGTGCGTGTGCGTGTGTCTGTGTGTGTGCGTGTGCGTGTGCGTGTGCGTGTGCGTGATACATGTGCATGTGCGTGTGCGTGTATGCGTGTGTGTGTGCGTGTGCGTGTGTGTGTGTGTGTGCGTGTGCGTGTGCGTGTGCGTGTGCGTGCGTGTGCGTGTGCGTGTGCGGGTGCGGGTGCGTGTGCGTGATGCTGTTGTGTATGCGTGATTGCAGTGCCAGCAGCGGTCAGACCGTGTCGCACGTGCTGCTTTCGCTTGAATTGATCTGATCCATTGTGGTGGTGATTGGCCGACGCACTCTGCCTCAGATCACGGAGCTCGAGAAGAAGCTCAAGAACGAGGACAAATCTGTGCAAGAGATTGGCGAAGCCGTCATGCAGGAATCCCGCAAGAGCATGACACACATGCAGCTCAGCGAAGAGGTGCGTGCCCGCAGTACAGCGGCCCGAACACGTCTGTACACTTGGCTGTGCACACATACACGCCGATATGTCTCAACCCCACCTTTATTCTTCATTCTTCCCCACATACCGCACGACCATAACCACCACTCTCACAACCCTCCACAATGCTTGTTCTCACCCCTGTGATGACGGCTGCTGGTCCGATTCCTCCGCAGGCGAAGGCGCTGGTGGAGGAGCCACCAAAGGCGATCCAGCAGCTCATTAAGGCCGGCATGGTCATCAGCGGATATCCGCTCGAGAAGCTCGAGAACTGGAGCGACATCTCCGAAGTTGTCCTCAACGGTGTGTATACACACAGACACAGACATACACACAGACACAGACACAGACACAGACACAGACACAGACACACAGACACACACCCACACAGACATACACACAGATACACAGACACACGCACCGCGGTGCGTGTGTGCGCTGATCAAGTTGTTTGGGTTCCAGGCGTGCACAGCTGCACAGTCCACACCATGCTTCTCACACCTTATTCATCTTACACACACGGATGGTGAGCAGACTATGCACTGACGCGCTATGAGACGCTTGATGTGATGGCGGTTGCCAACAAGCACGACATCAAGGACGCTGTGGAGATGGTGGATGGCATCGACTACCTTGCCCGCCCTGTTCAGAAACACCCATTGGGCCCATTGGCCACACGCTACCACACGGTCTGTCATGTGCTATGTGTCTGCGTGTGCATGTACTTGCAAGTGTGTGTGTGTTTGCGTGTTGGTTCATTGTCCTTGTTCTGCAGCCTCGCACGAGAGGCCGTCGACATATCCACCGCACTTCCCAGTGCCACGCCACACCACCTCACGTCACACCACACCATGCAACTGCCCAATCACCTCCACCCCCACCCCAACACCACCACCACCACCACCACCGCCAGTTTGTGCGTGCGGCGCTGCAGTCGTTTGGATACGAGCCATCGCAGTTTCTCTCGCTGGAATCTGTGGAGGAGGACAGGCAGACGTTCCAGCGAACCATCTGGCGCATGCCCGAAGAGGTGGAGAAGGTGCTTGATCTTGACAAGGACGGCGACACAGAGGCGTTGCGCGAGGAGAAGAAGAGAATACTGTCGACAATGGCTGGCCTGGACAGGCGGGTGCTGCCCAAGGAGATTACATCCAAGCTCATGCACGTCGAAGTCTGGTGGAAGTCAGCGGTACGTTTGAAAATGGGACAAGTCTTGCTCGCGTTGTGTGCATGTGTGTGCATGTGTGTGTGTATGTGTGTGCATGTGTGTGTGCATGTGTGTGCATGTGTGTGCATGTGTGTGCTTGTGATGAGACAGGCACGCATTGCCCCCCTCCCCAACACACATTCCCATACTTGATCCCCACCCAACCTTCAACATCTCCTCCCCTCCACCTCCACACATACACTCACACACACACACACACACACACACACACACACACACACACACACACACACACGTTACCACGTGATTATTGCATTGTTCAGGAGAACGAGGAGACGGATGCGGATGCGTCGCTGATCATGTTCAGCGAGCACGGGCAGCCCATCGACAGCGTGTACCATCTTGTCCGCCACAGCAAGGACAACGCCATCAAACACATGGGTGACATGGGTGAGGAGACAGACGCTGAATACTTCACCTTCGACCTCCCAAAGCTGGCAAAGGTGCGCTGCGTGCGTGTGTGTGTGTCGCGTGCCTGTCAAGTTTGTGTTGTGTTGTTCAACAGCGCACTTGCTGTGCCAAATCATTTGCACGACACCACGCACCATCCACACACCATACTCACACCACTCTCCTCAACAATGTACACATCTGTATGCAACGCACGCCAGAATGTGGATGTGATTGGGGTGGTGCTGAACGTGGCGACGGATGGAGAAAGCCTGGAGCACACAGAGGCGTGTGGCATTCGCATTTACCCATCAACTGGCGACACCAACGGTGGTGCTGGTGGTGGTGGCGCAGACAGCGCAGACAAGAAGGAGGAGGAACAGGAAGAAGAAGCAGGGGGTGACCAGGAGAAGAAGGACGATGAAGGCGAGGGCGGTGGCGATGACAAGGAGGGTGGTGACGAAGAAGAAGAAGAAGACAAGAAAGAAGAAGAAGACAAGGCAGAAGGTGACAAGGAAGACGAGGAAGATGGTGAGGATGGTGATGAGGGCGATGAGCAACAGAGCAGCAAGCCTGCATCGAAGAAGCCCTCCATGGCGCCACCTGCGATGGTGCCGCCAAAGGCCCCGCCCGTCCTCACCATGAGCCTGGATGCGCATCTCATTGACAAGCATGAGGTGCTCATGACGCTGCTGCACCGTGATCAGGAGGACCCGGACCTGTGGCACATTGTCGGTGTTGGCGAGCAAGTCAAGGGCGAGTGGCGCGAGAAGGAAGAGTCACAGAACTTTCTCAACGCACTGCCGCTGGGCCAGCGCTACATTGAGCTGCTTGGCATCCGCCACGTGGACCACAGCGGGGAGAAGGTCATGCACCCGTTTAAGATGGTTCCTGGCGACTTTCTTGAAGTGCCGGCCCTTGCGGTGGAGCACCCTGTCGTCATTGGCATGGGCTGGGATGTCGATCCAGATGTCGCCATGGATTTGGACTGCGGGCTTGCCGTTTACTCAAAGGGACAGGTCAGTGTGTGCACGATGATGGCAGCGCGGCGGTGATGATGTTGGAGAGGCGGGTGGGTATGCAGTGGAACGTGATTTGCAGTGGTGACTGGTAGCTGACGGCTGGCAGCCGTGGTTGTGGCCCATGTGCTTGAAAGATCTTGACTTGACTTGTTCTTCCTCGTTCTCACCGTTCTCACACATTTCTCTGCACACACACGCACACACACACACACACACACACACACACACACACACACACACACACACACACACACACACACACACACACACACACACACGCACATGTCCACAGCGAACGGACTACTGCGACTTTGAGAAGTTGGTGTCGAACGACAAAGCCATTGAGCACCAGGGCGACAACCGTGATGGCGAGGGCGAAGGCGATGATGAGAGCATCATTGTCGAGTTCAGCAAGCTCGATCCAGAGACAGACACGCTGTTCCTGTACGCTGCCGTGTATGAGGGCGGTGCTCTGCGTGATGTGGAGAATGTTCATATTCGCATGCTCAGCAAACGCGGCGGAAAGCAGAAGGTGGGAATGCTGATTGCTGCTGCTGCTGTTTGGGTGTGGTTGTTGTCGTGGCTGATTGCTGTTTGCTGTTGCGTCGTCGTTTGTGGTGGTTTGCTTGATGTGTCCGGTTGGGCTTAATTTGGCTTGTTGTTGGATGTGCTTGTTTGGTGTTTTCTGTGTTGCCTGCTGGGGTGCTTGCTTATGTGCATGTGTGCCTCCACACACTCGCTCACGTACTCCCGACCCCATGTCCATCCCCAAACGCCGCAATCACAACAACAGGAGATCTGCCGGTTCTCGCTCGACTGGCTGGCCAAGGTTGAGGACGACACTGCCGTCATCCTGGCCAAAATCTCGCGTACACCCGAGGGGGCGTGGCTCTTCCAGACCATTGGCACCACGGCACCTGGCAGGACCATCGAGGAGCTGGAGAGCAGGCTCACAGAGCTGCTCTGATGACCCTCTGCGATGCTTTTGTTGACACTACGAATGATAGCTGATCGCACCTGCGTCCAATGAGCATTGGTGTTGCTGTATGACATGTTTCACAGCTCAGTGCGTTCTGTTTGTAATGGTGCAGGCGCGACGTTTGTGTTTTTGATGTGTTTATGTGCTCGTTGTTGTTGTGTGTTTGCATATGTGCATGTGCGTTTCGCTTGCTTTTGGTTGCGCTGTTGATACACTGCTGCTTGTTGTCGTTGTTCCTTGCCAGAGAATGAATGCATAAACGTCAGTCGAATTGCACTCATGATATGGGGGTGTTCAGAAGAGGCGGTGGCATGTCTGCACGGCGAACGGCAAACGGTCAGAACATGAAAGCAATCACGGTTGGAGTGACATAATATACATAATGTAACGTAATGTAACTTCAGAACAAGGAGGAAAGGAAGGAAGTTGTAACATACCAGCATGCTGGTGGGAGGGATATCAGCAAACCGTGTTCGTGTCATGTGATATTGGCACACAAACACGTATGTGCTTTGAGACGGAAGAGTAGAGGTCGCATTGCTTTTCGGGAACAAGAAGAAGGGGCGGGGGGAAGAGACTGTGCGAAGAGACGAGGCTGCCAGCACAGACACACACACACACAGGTACAGACACACACAGGTACAGACACACACACACACACACACACACACAGGTACAGAGAGACACACACACACACAGGTACAGACACACACAGGTACAGACACAGGTACACACACACACACACACACACACACACACACACACACACACACACACACACACACACACACACACACACACACACGGATACAGACACAGACAGACAGACAGACACAGGTACACATCAGGAGCGGTTGATGCGGGGTGAGGGCGGTGTTGGCAGCTGGCGAACAGCGGTCGGTGGTGTGTGCATGTGTTGATCGCGATGACCGCCGCGGACACCAGCGCCTTTCTTCCTTCTCGGCGCAACTGCCGCTGCCGTTGCCCTTGATGCCGGGCTCATGCCGTCACCACCACCATCAACACGACCACCGTCACCAACGTGGCGCCCAGCAGCCCTGTGCGGATCAGCATCGTCCTCGTTGTCATCAACACCAACATCCTGACCACGCATGGGGCCACTCTGTGCACCGTGGTCACGGCCATCCACGCCCAAGCCATGGTGGCCGGTGGTGCTGTCACCGCTGCTGCTGTTGTCGTTGTTATTGGTGTGATGGCTTCGACCCGTGCTGGTAGTCTCGTATCTCTCCCAGCTCCTGCGCACGCGGTGGTTGGAGGAGAGCACGGGCCCGCGTGGTGGCGATGGCCGATATGCCTCATCACCGCCATCCCGATGATGGTGGTGATGGTGGTGGTGGTGATCAGGTGACGCCTGGTGTTGTGGTCTTCTCTTGCTGGTGTCAGTGCTGTTGCCACCACTCAATACTTCCCCGCCTTCCCTGCTGCCGTGTATGCGCCCATGCAAAGAGGGCGGTGGCGGCGATGATGTTGGTGACGGTGATGATGGCGCGATGGGCGGCACGACCGGGTAGTTGGCTGAGCCCAGCCGCCTGCGTCCAGACCCCCGCGCAGATGCAGACACGAGCCGCAGCCGCTCCGTCTCCCGCTGTATGTACTCGGCATCGGTGCCCACACCCGCAGTTGTTGGCGACGCTGCCGGGCGCGCGTATCTGCGGTGGCGCGTGCGTGACGCGCGCGTGGACTGGCGGGGATCCCGGGGCGGCGACATATCCGCCACAACGACACCACCACCGCCGCCGCCGCTGCTGTTACCAGCGGTGCTGCGGAGTGGGGATGTGACAGACGGGGTGCGCAGGCGACGGGTGGCGGAGGGTGGTGTTGCTGGCGATGTTGGGGAGAGTGGGGATGACCCGGGCTCGTGTGGCGCTGACGGTGACGGTTGTGTTGTTCGCGAGTGCCGTGGACCGCCCACGGCGTGCGGAGGGCGGGGACTGGCAAGCGTTGTGACGCTGTTGGGCGTTCTCGATCCAGATGAGCTTGTGCGCTGTGCAGTGTCGGGAGATGCCGCGTGGTCTTGGCTGTTGGCGGCATGGTGCTTGGCTGGCGATGGTGTTGCGCGAGCGTTTCGCAGTTGCATGACAAGCTCGGCTTGGCGGCGGGAGTATCGCGAGTTGTCGTCGCGTAACCGCTGCACCTCTTGTTCCAGGGCGGCGCATTGCTTGTGCAGACTTGTCTGTTCCGTTGTCATTGTGCGGATGACGGCGTCTCGCTCCGCCACTGTCTCGTCCATGGCGGCCAGCTTGGCCCGAAGCATGTTGAGCTCTTGCTCTAGCGCATGGCGTGCTTGTTGGTGTGCGTGGCACTGCTGCTCCAACGCCTCGATCTTTGCTTCCTGTGCTGCTGTTGCGTTACAGGACGGTGGTTGTGAGGGCGTGTGTGCGTGTGTGTGTGTGTGTGTGAGTGTGTGAGTGTGCATGTGCATGTGCATGTGTGTGTTTGTTTGTGTGAGTGTGCATGTGTGTGTTGTGTGCGTGCGTGTGTGTGAGGCGATAGGCAGGAGATTCATATGTCACCAACCTGCAGTTGTCGGTTCTGGTTGTTGTTGTTGTTGTTGCTGTTCCGTGTCTGCATCTTGCAACAGCGTCAACTTGTAGTTCAGATCTACATGCATACATGATACGGGCATGCGTGTGGGTGTGAGTGGTGTTCAAGCTGTCGTGTTAAAGCCATGCGAAGGAGGCCCACCAGGCAAAAGCCCGCAAGCAAGCGAAGAAGAGCGCAGAGGAGGACGGGGGAGGGCCCAGCCAACGCACGCAAACACAGCAAGGCGGGCACCACCACACCGAACCTGTGTTCTTGTCTCGGAGTTGGGCAATCTCCTTGCGTAGCGCCTCCAGTGTCTTCTTATGCTCCGTCTTGAGGAACTCAATGACGGAGGAGGCGACCTCATCATCGTTGCCGCGTCCTGCCGGCATCTCTCCCAATACCAGGCCGCAACTGTGGTCGTGGTCGGTGGTTGTTGTTGTTGTGAAGCAGCAGAGGAGGAGCAGGCAGGAATCAAAACAAAACTCGAGAAAAGGAATGCACAAAGCAGAAAAACAAGCGAAGCAACAACAGAGGACAGCAGCGCCCAACCCACGTGTGCCACCAACACACACACACACACACACACACACACACACACACACACAGACACACACACACACACACACACACACACACACACACACACACACACACACAC